AAGAAAAACAAAACCAGTTTAACAGTTTTTTGCAATACGAGCTTGTGATTTATGCTTACTCTATAAGTGGAAATCAGGATTGTTTTAAAGATTTAAGGTTGGGTATTTTTGAACACTCATCTAGGATGTAACAGCAAAGTTGAGTAAAGTATAACTGTTAAACAAGTTCCAGCTTTTCTCAAGTTAGTTATATATTGTAGGATGTACTTAAGCAGTAAGTGTATTTAGGTTAAAGCAGTTGAATTACGTTAAATGTTGCTATGATACCACATGATATTGAACATTGTTTGGATGCATGTTGAAAGACATGCTTTTTTGTAAAACTCAATATAGGAGCTGTGTCTACAATTAAAGTGAAACATTTTGGCATGTTTGTTAAATTCTAGTTTCATTTAATAACCTGTAAGGCACGTAAGTTGAAGCTTTTTTTTTAAGTTAATGGGGAAATTTGAGACGCAATACCAATACTTTAGGATGTTGGTCTTGGTGTTTGTACGAAATTCTGAGGCCTTGATTTAAATCTTTCATTGTATTGTGATTTCCTTTTAGGTATATTGCGCTAAGTGAAACTTGTCAAATAAATCTTCCTTTTAAAAACTGCACTTTGTCTTGTCTGTGCTTCAGTGTCATGTGGACTGTTTCTTGGTGCTCTATTCCTGCCTGAGGCATAGGTCAACATCTCTGGCTGTGGCAGAAAGGCTCCGCAGTTGAGGCTGTTGTGTAGATGTCTTCAGACTTCTCTTCCGTCCAGTGCAACTGAAGGTAAAACTTGGCTTTGAGGCCCTCGTGGAAGGGCTGTGTGTTGTTTGGCTGCACGGAACCTGGTCTGAACTGCTTGTAACTTGGGAAGCATTGCACAAAGCACCGAGAGGCGCACCAGTGCATGTACTGCATGTTCACAAGGCCTTCAGGCATGGCTGTGAAGTGCCAGAGGCAGGGGGTGACTGGAAGCTTTTTGAATTGTGTATATCTAGGGTGTGTTCTAGAAGGAGCTTGCTCATAGATGGTTTTCAGGCTTTATATTTTTGCCTCATTCTTAAAAATCCCACTTGGGATCAATTCCATTCTCTGTGAACCACCTGAGGCAGAATACCAAGTAATAGTTGGGAGCAGACATGATTAGTTTAAATCTATTCTTCAAATAGTATTATTCCTGTTTTGGTAGATTGGAACTCCAGTGACATGGTAAGAAATACTCTGTGTACCCAAACTGATTTATTTGAGACAGTCTCACTCTGTTGTCCAGGCTAGAGTGCAGGGGCGTCCGCCTAGCTCACAGCAACCTCAGATTCTTGGGCTCAAGCAATCCTGCCTCAGCCTACCGAGTAGCTGGGACTACAGTGATGTGCCACCATGCCTGGCAAAATTTTTTTCTATATATTTTTAGTTGGCCAATCAATTTCTTTTTTTTTTTTTTTTTTTTTTTTTTTGAGACAGAGTGCTTGCTCTTCGGTCCTGCCACAGCGCTAGAGTGAGTGCCATGGCGTCAGCCTAGCTCACAGCAACCTCATACTGGAGTGCTACTGCCTCAGCCTCCCGAGTAGCTGGGACTACAGGCATGCACCACCATACCATGCTCGGCTGATTTTTTCTATATGTATTAGTTGTCCAATTAATTTTTCTATTTATAGTAGAGACGGGGTCTCGCTCTTGCTCAGGCCGGTTTCGAACTCCTGACCTCGAGCAATCCGCCTGCCTCGGCCTCCCAGAGTGCTAGGGTTACAGGTGTGAGCCACCACGCCTGGCCCCCAAACTGCTTTAAAGGTGTAGTCCCAGAATGCCTTCTGGTGGATGCTTATGTTATGGGCACTGCAGTTTGCAAACTGCCAGTGCTCATTAACCCTTTTAGACTCAGTGGTAATGAAAGAACATAGAATTTGAGCTAGGATGTAACAGGTTTGGGTCCTTTAAAGCCAAGTGTGTGTAAGTTCTTGCCAAATGTGTGTAAGTTCTTATACTTTCTGTGATGTGCTGAAGGTTTTCCCAGGTTCTTGGCAGGTCTAGTGATAACTTCTGGGTAACCTCACCCATTAGAGGAAGAGAAAGGATTAGAACTAGCAATCTGGAGAATGGTTAAACTAACCCGGAACTACTTGGTTTTTTAAATAATGGAGTCTAAAGCCATTACGGTTCTTGGAACCTTGTGCTCTGTGGACCAACATCACCCAGGAGTAATGAGTCAATCTCTAGACCCTATTAAATCAGAATCTGCAGTTTAGCCACTTTGGTACGAGTGTCGACTATAGTCGACAGCCACAGATGCAGCGCGCACAGTCAAGCGTGGACTTTAGCCAACAGCCGTGATATGACTTCTTATTTTTCATTTATCAAAATAAAATTGTGGGCTGGGCGCGGTGTCTCATGCCTGTAATCCTAGCACTCTGGGAGGCTGAGGCGGGTGGATTGCTTGAGGTCAGGAGTTCGAAACCAGCCTGAGCAAGAGCAAGACCCTGTGTCTACTATAAATAGAAAGAAATTGACCAACTAATATATATATAGAAAAAATTAGGGCATGGTGGTGCATACCTGTAGTCACAGCTACTTGGGAGGCTGAGGCAGTAGGAGCGCTTGAGCCCAGGAGTTTGGGATTGCTGGAGCTAGGCTGATGCCACAGCACTCACTCTAGCCTGGACAACAGAGTGAGACTGTCTCAAAAAAAAAAAGAATAAAATTGTTGTGAACATTTAAAAATAACATAGTGAAAACATATGTATATGTTACCTATTCTGATTTACATGACAAGTAAAGCTGCCTGTAAAGTAAAACAAGCTTTCCTCATCACACAAGAGCAAAATGGATTCGTCGTCAATGCACAGCAGACTCTGCCGCGTTGACTGTGAGTGCCCACTGTGGGCCGTACTAAAGTGTTTAACCAAGACCCTGAACCCTCACTCCCAGGCTTATTGGCCTGCACATGGAGAAGCATGTCCTTAGACCATCTATCCCTTATTTCTCAGGCTGGGGAAAGACGGTGTGGTGCAGACCTGAGGGCTCAAAGTTTAGATGTATGTTTGGATTCTCAGTAGAAGTTAGTGACTACTAAGGCAGCTTTTGGTAGCTTTGGTGTTGGGATCTGCTGTGAATAATGCTTACTTGAACATTTGTTCCTTGGCCATGGAGGTGTGAGATTGGGAAAAGAAATGGGTGTGAGGCCGGGCGTGGTGGCTCACGCCTGTAATGCTAGCACTCTGGGAGGCCAAGGCGGGTGGATTGCTCGAGGTCAGGAGTTCGAAACCAGCCTGAGCAAGAGCGAGACCCCGTCTCTACTAAAAATAGAAATTAATTGACCAACTAAAAATAAATATACAAAAACATAGCCGGGCATGGTGGCTCATGCCTGTAGTCCCAGCACTTGGGAGGCTGAGGCAGGAGGATCGCTTGAGCCCAGGAGTTTGAGGTTGCTGTGAGCTAGGCTGGCGCCACGGCACTCACTCTAGCCTGGGCAATAAAGTGAGACTCTGTCTCAAAAAAAAAAAAAAAATGGGTGTGAAACTTTTATTTGAATAGATAAGTGTCAGGCACAGTGGTGGGAACGTACATGTTTTAACTACTGGAAAAGCAGTCTTGAAGTAGGGAGGTAGTATCCACTTTATTGTGTGTGCCCATGAGAGCTAAGGCTCAAGTGAAGCTAGTCCAAATAGGAAACAAGGTACAGATAACTAATACTAGAAATGTGGGGGTAGTGGGTGGCATGTAGACATCTTTTTGAAAAAATTTGGCTCTTTATTTCAGAATATTACCAGGTAAAAATGTTTAGGTTACCTATATTGGCTTTGCGTTCCCGCCTCCCAGTCTAAGCTACGAGCGTGTCCATCCCCCAGACAGTGCGGACCGCACCCATTAGGTGTGAAGATACCCACTCCTCCCCCCCTCCCCAACGCCTGATGAATGTTACTACCATATGTGCACATCAGTGTTGATCAATACCAATTTGATGGTGGGTACATGTGCTTATTTTAACATTCTTTTGATACTTCATTTAGAATGGGCTCCAGCTCTATCCAGGATAATAAGAGGTGCTAGATCACCATTGTTTTTTGTGGCTGAGTAGAACTCCATGGTATGTATATACCACATTTTATGAATCCATGCATGTATTGATGGGCACTTGAGTTGTTTCCACATCTTTGTAATTGTGAATTGCGCTGCTATAACATTAGAGTGCAGACCCTGCTTGAGATTAACTCAGGTTAAGTGAACCTCTTGCTGCCATGCTTCCCTAACAGGCTTTGAAAACTTGCTAGAATATGGTGGATCTGGGGCTGGGCAGACTTAGTCTTGAAGTCTGGCTGCAGTTTTTAAGCTGTAGGACACTCTGGGTAAATTCTGGGAACTGCTGAGCTTTCCATACTTCCCATCCATAAAACGTGTTTAGAGGAGAAACGTGGAATCCATGGTTTAAGTTGTGGGCACAATAGCAGTGTGAAGAACCAGTGCTGACCCAGGAGGCAGGAGAGCCAGGATTCAATCGGGCAGAGGCTCTGAGCGGGGTGTCAGTCTGGAGGGGTGGGTAGGGGTAGCGTGGAATGATGAGGCCTGGAGACTTCCATGGGGATATTAACCCAGTGCTGCTTGTTTCTCATTGACTTCTATGGGGCTGCAAAGGAGGAAGACTTGGAGCCAGTCTCAGCACTGCCTTTTCTTTTTTTGAGACAGAGTCTCTGTTGCCTGGGTTCAAGTGAATCTTCCTGCCTCAGCCTCCTGAGTAGCTGGGACTACAGGCAATGTGCCACCATGCCTGGCTGATTTTTTTCTGTATATTTTTAGTTAACCAATTTCTTTTCTATTTTTAGTAGAGATGGGGTCTTGCTCTTGCTCAGGCTGGTCTTGAACTCCCGACCTTGAGCAATCCTCCTGCCTTGGCCTCCCAGAGTGCTAGGATCACAGGCATGAGCCACCATGCCCGGCCGTCAGCACTGCTTGTGAAATTAAAAATAGCTGCCTGGCACATAAGTGAACTTTTGAGCTTTGGTGACAGGCTTGAGGTTACATTCTCTGTGTCCACTAATAGTAGGCTGACCCTTGGCACACGTGGGTGGGGGTACAGTTCAGCAATGCCAACAGCTTCACAGCAAACCTTCCCTGTGGGCCTTCAGTCTAGAGACTCCATGAGGGGCTCTCTGAGGCCCCTAAGGGCAGGCTAGGGGTGAGAGCTTGACAGGTTCCTGTGTAGTTGGCAAAAGCTCATTTTCTGTAAAAAATAAATGATTTTTATTGCAGGGCCAACAATAGGTATTCACAAGGGCATGAAATGGCAAATCTCTGGACTGACGCAGAGGAGGCACCGACAGACCCTGCATGGTATGAAGTATTGGGCACAAATCAAAGTTTCTGTGAGTTGGGGGGGTAGGCATGAGAAACATTACTAACAAGTATAGTTGCTGTAAAATAGGTTATTTCTTTGAAGAGGAAAAGATCAGTAGCAAAATCATGAAGTTGCATCTGAACCAAAGCCAGTGATGTGGAAGAGTTTTGATCCATAGGAGTTGATCCCACGTGAGGAATGGAAAGGCGCTCAGCTTCCAGTTCCTGAATGCTGTCTTCCAGGGCCAGCAGCTCTGATGAGGGATAGATTCCTTTTTGATTCTCTTGAGAATCAACTTCCCAAGCTCCTGGTGGTCCCTGGAGACCCAAAGAGTTTGGCACTGTTCCCAAGGCTGCCTGCTGCCCTGAGGACAAGGTCAACAGGCTGATGCCCCTGTAGGCAGCTTCTGGGCCTAGGAGGCCATGGAGGAGCAGCGCTGCAGGAGCAGAGTGTGGCAGCTGTCACACACACGCACTGGCTTGGGGTAGGAGGGCAGGGCCAGCTCGTTGCTGGAGCAGGTGTTGCAGAAGATGTGGCCACAGTTGCGGCAGTGGTGCTAGAAGAAAGAAGGCAGGCAGTCAGCCGACGCCGGGAGGAGGGATCTGCACACCCACCCTACCTGTTCCCCTGACATTTAAAAACTCAGTAAATGCTTTAACAACCCTCCCCCAAAGCACAGTAGTCATTTTCCTGAAGTGCTTTAATTTTTTTGAGACAGTCTGGCTCTGTGGCTTCAGCTGGAGTGCAGTGGCGTAATAGCTCACTGCAACCTCAGACTCCTGGGCTCAAGTGACCCTCCTGCCTTAGCCTCCCCAAGTAGCTAGGACAGCAGGCACGTGCCAACATGTCCCTTTAATTTTTACATTTCTTTTAGAGACTGGGTCTCATAATGTTGCCCAGTCTGGTCTCAAACTCCAAACTCAGCCTCCCAAAGTGCTAGGATTACAGGTGAACTGGCAACAAACCATGTTTTATTGTATTTCCTGACTCAATGAGTGTATAATTTGAGTCACATAAAGAGCCTGGTCCATCCCATGGGGGAAGGGAGACTTTCACTTTATAAGCAGGGCTGCCTTGGGCCTCGTGCAGTGGGTTCCTGGGTGTCTGACCAGACACCAAGACGAGCACAGGCACGGCCTCTGCTGGCCCTGCAGCCCACTGCCAGCCAGCCCTGCCTCAGGCCAGAGCACAGGCTGCCCATGTGTGGGTGCAGCCAAGCCTTCCAGACAGATGTGCTCACAAAGGCAGCTTCAGGAGGGTTTTTTCCTAACTCTGAACATATTTATTGCAAGGCACTGACTATAATTTTGGCTTCCTCTTTCCCAGAGAAAGGCTGTTCATGGAGCAGATGAGATCGTGGATCACAGGGTAGCAGTTCAGGTGGCCTTGGCAGTGTGACAAGCATCCCCCTTCCCGTCAGTAATTCCTTTAGCTCCTGGTTTTGCTTGTGATCTACACCCGACTCCTCCCTTGCCCAGCTGGTTGTCTTGGTGAGATGCAAGGGGCAAGCACAGGACCTGAAAGGCAGGCTACACAGCCAAAGGCAGTTCACCAGGGGCAAGTGCCCTGCCCAGATCACCAGGGAGTTTATGGTGACCTGCTGTCTTCTATAGGTTCCCATAAATTCTGTTTTTGCCTCAGTTGGCCAGTTTTTGGTCCTGTTGACACACAGAACTTCTAGTGATACGTTCACCTAGAGCAATCCTGAAAGGGGGCCAGCCTCGACAGCCAACTGCATGGCCGGCAGGGGCGCCGCCTGCCTGCACCCTGCACACACGCCAGAGCGCCACAGCGCAGTGAGCGAGGGCTCTGCAGCCAGAGGAGGGATCCCGCAGCGCGGCAGCTCCAGGCACTGTGCAGGTGGGGCAGGGCCACTCTACTTACCTTCCTCCGGGAAATGGAGAACTCCTTTTCACACTGCTTACAGTGTGTTGCTTCATCATCTTTCAGCCAAGTATGGCCCTGAAAAGGAAAGAACACTCGAGAAACACATTTTATGTCTCAGGCCCTGATGAGAGATTAGCAGTGTTCTGGCTATAGCCATTGTCACCATAGCACCTGGTTTCCTAATGACTTCCTTCTCATTAGCTGTGGCCTTGAGGGACAGTAATGAAGGGGCCCTTCCTCCTGGTTTAACCAGAGCTGGAATCCATGTGTCATAGCTCCACCCTGTTGACTTCCTGGCCTCTGCACGTAGCCACTGGGCTGAGGCAGGTTCTCCAGCATTCTGTTAGCGCCTGAGACTCACACCTACACTTTCAGTAAATTCCCTACAGTTGAGGTAACTAGAGTCAGGTTCTGGTGCCTGCCACTTCAAGCCCTGGCTGCGACACTATCCAAAGAGACTAGCTGTACTGGCAGCAGGGAGAAGAGCCAAATCTGAGCAAAACTAGAACAGTTGGTGATAACAGATCCCTGCAGAGAGACAGTGTGCAGCAGGGCCCAAGGAAGCCCTTCACGTGGGCCAAACTCCGAGCCTCACACAGCCACAGGAAGCAGATGACTTCCAATTCCATGGAAGAGGCAACTGAGGTTTTGAAAGGTGCCTTTTGGGAGGTGTCTTCTTAGGGAAAACTAAGACATGGGATTGTTTCAGCCTTAGGGACTGAGGTGTCAAAGGCATGATGTACCTGACCGGCTCCTTAGTATCTGCTGGACATGATTCTCTTGATAACACAGACCCTCACGACTGAGCTGGAGTGACACACGTTGGGCTCCCAGCATGTGCCCAGGGTGTTCATCCTCACATCGAAGAGCTCCAGTGGCTCCAAAGTCCTCTTTTATGATTCTTATCCTCCCTCTGGTGTCGTTAGCTGTGATTTTGTGCAAACATTTCTGTGCAGTGCCAGGGACGTGTGATAGGCAGCTCACAGCAGTTACATCCAAGGAGGTTTTTGTCTACAAGGGAGGATCAGTCAATGTTGCCTAGGAGTCCAGGCTGCTGTCAGTTGCTGTGACAAATTTGCGGCTTCTACCCACTGTGTCCAGGAGAGGGCGCCCAGAGATGCCGGGTGTCTGCTCTGGAGTGCGTGGAACATGATGTGTGGAGGACTGTCCTTGCACTGCTGCCACAGCATGGCAAGGGACAAAGTGGGAGAAGCTCCTGCCAGCAGAGAGCCCTGGGGGCAGTGGCCCGGAACACCCACCTCCTTGCCCACCCTCCCAGGGCTCTTGGTCTTAAAGTGAATGCATCATTCTTCCCTCCCCTAAACGGTCCAGAAACTTGGCCCAGGACAGGGTTTGGCTGTGCCAGAAATGGCACAGGACACTAGAGTGGGGCTGGCTGTTTTAAGCCCATGTTCACACCACAGCTGATAGCAGAGGAACTGGAGGTGTAAGATTCAGGTTCCAGCCCTAGCCCTGCCACTTGTCAGCATTGCCATCCCAGCCCAGGAACATGTTTCTGACTAGCATTTTGCTTATCTGTGAACATGGCATCACCACTGCCTCAACCACATGGTCCCACCCCGCTGTTGGGGGAAAATTAAGGGCATGCATGCAAGGTATCAGCACAAGCTGACGGTGATGACAGCAATTCTTATGCTTGTGGTACCCTCCAGTACCTTCAGTGCCTTGTTCACTTCTTTTATGTCTTCCATCTTCAGCTTGGACCTGAAAAAAGAAAAAAACAAGACCACTTTGTAGCAGTGAGAGAGGCTCTAAAACTCGAACAGCTAGTTCCAGTGACCGTTTGGCTTTGTGAGAATAGGATTTGGGAAGACAGCCATACATGAGTTATTCTGAAATGCTGCCCTCTTTTTACATCCCAGAGTCACCCATCACTGGCTCGTGTGTCTGTGAGCTCCGAGGCTGAGCCTGGGGACTGCATCTGGCCGGAGAACAGACTGTTTAGCCTGCAAAGGTTTATAAAAAGATTTTGAAATGGTTGCATTCATTTAAAAATTGAGAATGATCTCAAGAGAAGCCCAGGTCTCTGGCTTCTCTGAGCCGCCACTCCTGCACACAGCAGGCACTGGCAGCGGCCGGCAGGCACTGGCAGCGGCCGGGCCCTCCCAGCTGGAACCTGGGCCTGCAGCACCTCCGGCCTTCGCCTCTGCCGCCTGCGCCATCTCAAGGGCCAGACTCAGCGCACTCGGCCACCTGTTCCTCCTCCTCCTTGCCAGTGTGAGAACAGTTCCTCAGCTGTCCACGTAAGACAGGACTGAACATGGTCTCAACTGGCAAAACTAAATCAAATAGATGATGAATTACAGATACATAGTATTTCATAGATGAAATACTATGTATCTGTAATTTGGGGGAACAGTCTGAACCTTTCTTTCTTTTTTTTTTTTTTTGAGACAGAGTCTCACTTTGTTGCCCAGGCTAGAGTGAGTGCCCTGGCGTCAGCCTGGCTCACAGCAACCTCAATCTCCGGGGCTCAGTGATCCTCCTGCCTCAGCCTCCCGAGTAGCTGGGACTACAGGCATGCACCACCATGCCCGGCTAATTTTTTGTATATATATTTTTAGTTGGTCAATTAATTTATTTCTATTTTTGGTAGAGACGGGGTCTCGCTCAGGCTGGTTTCGAACTCCTGACCTTGAGCAATCTGCCTGCCTCGGCCTCCCAAAGTGCTAGGATTACAGGCGTGAGCCACCGCGCCCGGCTGAACCTTTCTTAAAAGCTGAGATTATCTCCAGGTCATATATTGTCAAAAAAATAAAGAATAAAAAAATAGTAAAAAAACAAAACTAACCTGTCATCAGATTAGAGTAAGTATCAAAATGGCATGCCTCTGGGAGACACAGAATAGACTTCTAAGGGAGGGATTAGAAAGCCAAGTGTCAGGGCGTTTAGGCAAAACCCTGCAGTGCATACTGAAGATTGCAGGCAGCTCCCTCGCTCCTTGCCGGCTGTAGAACTAGGCCAGCAGACTGCTAGGATCAGAGGCTGCCAGGCAGACAGGCCCTGGGCAAGCAGATCAAAATGGCAGCCTGAACATCTAAGAACTTCTTGGGGAAGCACAACTTGGGAAGAATTCAGATGTTCTTAGGATAAAGAAACTGGAAAACTACTTCTGTGGATACTGGCAGGGTCTGAGAATAGGCATTTGCCTTCTCTGTCATCACAGCGTGGGCTTGCAAGAGGAGGGGGAAGGGGGAGGAAGCACAGCTCCACGGGTGATCCTATCTGGGGGCATGTGCCAGACTCTGCAACACCCACGCTCGACTGTGAGGGAACCAGTCCCTGGCCAGCAGCTCAAGCCGGGATTCTGAAGCCAGACCGGGCAGTAGCACTGGGAGGCCACGAAGTGCAATTGTGCATTTTAAACATCCGAGACTATCAACATTTTTGAGGTCTGTCATCCAGTATGAGGGTGACCTCTGACTCCGCCTTACTGTCTGTCCACTGTGAAGAGGACAGGTAAGAGAAAAATGGTGCTGAACACAACTGTTGTAAACCCAGGAGGCCAGCCCATGCTGGCCTGTGGCTCCATGTCTCCCTGTGCTGATCGTGGGGACAGATAGCTGGCCTTGCCCTGCTGAAGGAGCTCCCCCAAGAATGGTGGCAGGGCCAGAGGACGGCCCAGGGCACTCAGCCGAGAGAGGGTGGCAGGCAGGGCTCAGGGTGGGAGGGACTGAGCACAGTGGGACTGAGCTGGTCTAGAAAGATCTGGGCAGTGGGAGAGGATGGCGAGTGGGCAGCACCTGCAACTGGCAACAGGAAGACCCTGGGCTCTGTCTTGTTCCTGTGGGACCAGACCCACCCAGCAGGTAGACACTGACAGGAGAGCAGAGGTGGAGGTACAGGCTGATTCCTGATCGCTTCTTTCACTTAACGCCAGTCTGAACCGCATTTCCATCACATGCAACCCAGAGCCCTGACTCGGGAGGAGAAAAGCTGTCCACCCCCATGTTTGAAAATGCGGCAAGCACCACAGTGCAGTGCGACCAACTTCTAGGGCCAGCTATGCAGAGCCACCTGTCTGCACTGGGACCCTGGGGAGGGAGCTGTCGCATCAAAGGGGAATAGAACTCCCCGGGCTCTATACTCCAGCCACACAGGCTACCGAGGGCGCCTCTGGGGACACAGGTGTGCTGCCTGAGAAGGGCAGTGGCTGTGTGGCAGCAGGGCTGGGGGGCAGCTCCCCCTGGCGGCTGTGGGCTGACCGAGCCACCTGTTCACCGCCCGTCCCCTTAGGGCCCGGACAGCCAGTGAGCATGAGTGTTCTGGTCACTGGAAATGAATATGCTCAGTGAATTAACCAGCAGCTGACTGACATCCCCATTTGGTGGGCAGGAGTCAGTGGTGGCCTGGCTTCCTGGGAGGCTGCCTCAGTGTACGGCCTCCCGAATGGCTTGCCCTCCTCCTGCCTGCAGGGGACAGGTTTGGGGCCTGAGCCATGGGGTGTGCAGCTGGCAGGACGTGCGCCATGGGGAGCGGCCAGAGCTGCGTGTGGGTGCAGATGACGGTGGCGGGTCCTTACTGGCTGAGGTGCAGTCCCATTTCCTGGAGGGCTTGTTCCTGCTCGTCACAAACCTTCCGTAACTCTGCCTTCTCATCCTGGAGCGCCCGCAGCTCCTGAAACGAACGAGCCAGACACTTGACACAGAACACAAGTCCTTGCAGACAGAACCACAAGTCCTTTTGTTTTTCTTTAAGGCTTAGTGACCAGAGTGAGGAGCAGATCCAAATGTTTTTCAAGAGCAGAAGGCGCTCGAGGCAGGTCTTTCCCGGGTTGCTTGTCCCTCGTTTGTGTCTCAAGAGCGGGCCACTGGAGGCGAGCACCGCGGGAGCAGTTCTGCATCTGGGGGCAGCGCCGTGGGACGGGACAGCTGCATTCATCAGCCACATTAAAACAGCTGCCCTCACAGGGCAAATGAGGTTCTGCCTATTTGAGCTCCTAATAAAAGATGGATTTTAAAAAAATAGATAGCTATCTCAAAAATCTATAGGTGAACCTCACACAAAATTATAGAAAGTTTGCATCAGCAAAGGCTAGTTTGAAAGGTGGCTTTTTTGTACAATGAAAAAGCCATTTTTTTTGGAAAGGGCTGGTCAAGGGTGAGGAACGCCAAGACCCGGGACCTTATTCATGGCCTGAGAGTGGCGAGAGCCTGTGGGCTCGCAAGGCCACGCGAGGAGCCGTGCAGAGGGAAGCTCGCCAGCGCGAGACAGCACTGGCCACTGTGCCGGTGCACGAGAAACAAGCCTGCAAGGCCAGGACCGAGACCCAGAAAATGTCCCGGGGTTTCTGGGCTGAGGGGGAGCAACGGTGGGGTTAGGCCCAAGTGGTGGGCGGCTCCCCCAGCCGCCCCAGTGCACCTCTGACCAGCGCCGGCCAACACCAGGCACAGAGACACGCGTGCCTTACTGAGGGTGTGAGACACTGTTTTGTTTCTTTTATCTCGGGGCGGGTGTGTGCGTGTTTGTGTGTGGTTCAAATCTTAGACCCACGTATTCTGGAGCAGAATAAAGGGGTATATTCCGTGATTGGTATGTTCCAGAATAGTCCTCTGCCCTCTTCCCGCCTTCCCCAGCAACGCCAGGCACTTTCCATACAAATCAAGAGCCTTTCTTCAGGAAGGTCCCCAGAGCCCAAAGGTTCAAGGCTGCAGTGAGCTTCTCTTAAGAAAAGAAAGCCTGAGGGAAACCTCTTGTGGACTAGTCAGCTGGAGTCAGTGCTGGGAGCCTGGGCAGAGGCTGCACTGCCCCCCAGGCAGGAGCCAAGGAGGTCAAGGACACTCCCACCAGACCAGGCTGCAGGTAACACCTGTTGGGATTCTTGGAACCCTCCTGCCTTCTGGGAAGACAGCTGATGATTTTACATTACAGAAGTTTAAGGCTGTGGCTGAGTTTCCCGGGAGGCCCAGCTCTAAAATCACACAATGCCATGCTTGCATCCACTTCTCTTGCCCCGAGCCCACAGCGTTAAGGCCGAACCTTCAAGTGAGATGGGGCCTTCAGAAGACCGAGGAGACGCCAGGGATAAGCAGATGGCTCGGGCTCAGTCTGCTGCCCAGGGATGGCCTGACCTTGGGCAGAGTGCGACCCACCTCCAGGGTGAAGGGGGACTGGCATTTGGTCAAAAATGTTGACTGGTTATCCCTGGTTTCCTCTCCTGCAAGCCTACCACCCAGGCTCCACACAGTGCCAGCGACCACCTGAAAACGAAAGGATCCTGTCCCCCCACAACTTCCTGTGGTGCTCAGAATAAATCCACATCCCTTCCCGAGCTTACAGGGCCCCGGAGGCTCCCTGCCCCAAGCCTCCTTCCTCTGCTCATCACATTCCTGTCCTTCAGCAAGACAGCCCTCGTGCCCGCTGTCCCTGGCTCCCTTGCCGCTGTCTTCCCAGGCCCCTGCCCACACTGTGAGGACATGTTCCCATCTTAGTCTCTTGTTGGCACTCACCCTGAGTTTATCTTTTGGCTTATGGTTTATGGTATGTCTTTGCTTCTCCTTCCAGAACAGACGCTCCCAGGGGGTAGGGACAGCATCCCAGGCCCTGGACTGGGCTTGGTGCTCGAAGGACACAGGGACAGGGCCTGCGTGGGCGCATCTGCACGGCTTTATGGAAACTGCTTAGATGCTCTTTTTCTCCCAAGGACAGGCCACTTACCTTTTTTAATCCTTCTACTTGTTGTAGCTCTGTTCGGAGTAGAGAGGAAGTGTCCTTCTCATGCTGTAATTCTCGCTGAAGAGCTTGTCTTTGCTCTTTTTCTGATTTCAACTCTTTCTCTAGACTTGAGCTGTTTTCCCAAAATGAACTTGTTAGTCTCAAAGGACGATTTTCATAAAAGATCCACAATCCACAACCCAATCCACTGCGCAGGAAATGGGGAACTATCTCAGTCACCACTCATCTCCCAAGGCTCCACTCTGCAGGCCCGCCACACCTGCGCCAGCCACGGCAGGCGGAGGGGAGCGGCCGGACACGCACTGGCTGTGGTGCCTGTGCCCAGGAAGGCCGGAGGACCACTCAAGGACTCCTCTAAGGTGCAGACTGCAGGGGAAAGAAAGTTCAAAATTTATTCTGCTTTTCGCAGCCCTTGGCCAGCTGACAACGGAGGATACCGGAGGAAAATCGCAGGAGCTCGGCTAGAACCAGCTGCGGAGCCCGCTCTCTCACAGTGAGACGGGGAGTTAGACAGGATCTCACTCTGTCGCCTGGGCTGCAGTGGCGTCATCGTAGCTCACTGAAGCCTTGAGCAATCCTGCCTCAGCCTCCTGAGTTGCTGGGACAGGCGCATGCCACTGCGCCCAGCTAAAGGTAGCTTTTTTTGTTCAAGGCTGAAAAGGTTCCCAGCTACTTGGAGGCTGAGGCAGGAGGATGGCTTGAGCCCAGGAGTTTGAGGTTGCTGTGAGCAAGGCTGATGCCATGGCACTCTAGCCCGGGCAACAGAGTGAGATTGTGTCTAAAAAAAACCCACCAAAAACCCAAAACACAAACAAACAAAAAAACACTGGGATAAAAGCTATTTTTTTGGAAAGGGCTGGTCGAGGATGAGGAAGGTCATGACCTGGGACTTCATTCATGGCCCCAGAGTGGCAAGAGCCTGTGGGCTCGCTGGACTGAGGAGCTGTGCTGGAGGAACTCGCTAGGGGACGACATACTAGCCTTGCAGGGTAAACTACCTGCCCCAGTTCTTTCTGGAGATGAGAGAAAAACTCCTTCCGAGCCCCTCCCAGGCCATGCCCCCTGCCAAGGCTCTGGCCACGGCCTACCATTGCTCGTGCAGCTGGGTGAGCCGCAGCTGCAGGGCGCCGGCCTTCCTGCCCAGCTCCTGCTGCAGCTGGTGGCTCCTCTCTTCCGCCCCCTTCCTGGCGCGCTCCGAGTGCTGTGACCTGCACGGCAACACCAAGGAGCATGCGAGTGAGCCTTTGTAGGGAAAGGGTCACTTCTCACAAGGTACGGTGTAACTTTTGCAAACCTTTGCTGGCTCAAATTTTTTATCTGAAAATTAACACACAGTGAAACGGACTCTTCTGCGTGTACAGTTGCATGAGCTTGAGCACATGTGGAGATTCGGACACACCATAATCAGGACGGAGAACAGGCCCATCGCCACAGAGCTCTGCGGCACTGCCCTCTGTAGTCACACATTCTCCCCGCTCCCACCCCTGGCAGTCACTCGTCTGTTCTGTGACACTATGGCTTTGGCTTTTTGAGAATGGCATATAAATGAAATTATATTTTATATAACTTTTTGAGACTGGCTTCTTTATTATGAGAATAAAGTCTTGGAGAACAATCTCAGTTTTTGTATCAATGGTTCATTCCTTTTGTGGCTGAGCTGTATTTTATTGTATAGATGTGCCAGTTTGTTTATCCACTCGCCCAGTGGTTGGGGTTGCTTCTAGCTTTGGGCAGTTATGAACAAAGCTGCAATAAACATTTCTGTACTAGTTTTTGTGTGGCCATAAGTTTAATTTCTCTTTGGGTCATATGGTAAGAGGATGTTTAGCTTTTTAACAAGGAGTTTTCCAAAGTGGTTGCACCATTTTGCATTCGCACCAGCAATATCTGAGAGTTCCCATTGTTCTGTATTCTTACCAGCACTTGATATTTTCATTTAAAAAAAACTTAGCTGTTCTAACAGACGTGCAGTGCAATTGCTTGGTGATTTTTTTTTTTTTTTTTTTTTTTGAGACAGAGTCTCACTTTGTTGCCCAGGCTAGAGTGAGTGCCGTGGCATCAGCCTAGCTCACAGCAACCTCAATCTCCTGGGCTCAAGCAATCCTCCTCCCGAGTAGCTGGGACTACAGGCATGCACCACCATGCCTGGCTAATTTTTTCTACATATATTTTTAGTTGTTTGGCTAATTTCTTTCTATTTTTAGTAGAGACAGGGGTCTTGCTTTTGCTCAGGCTGGTCTTGAATTTCTGAGCTCAAGCAATCCTCCCACCTTGGCCTCCTAGAGTGCTAGGATTATAGGTGTGAGCCACCTCGCCCGGCCGAGAATTCTTTATATTTTCAGGATACAAGTTCTTTGTCAGACATACGATTTGCAAACTTTCTATGAATTTATAACTTGCCTTTTTATGTTCTTAACTGTGTCTTTCACAGAACAAAAGTTTAAAATGTTGATAAAACCCAATTTATAAAGTTTGTGTTTTATGGATCATGTTTTTATATTAAATTTAAGATTTCTTTGCCTAACCCAAAGTCATGAAGATTTTTTCCTATGTTTTCTTCTAAAAGTTTTATAGATTTAAGTTTTATATTTAAATTTATGATTTTTTTTTTTTTGGAACAGGGTCTTGCTCTGTCACCCAGGCTGGGCTGCAATGGTATCATCACAGCTCACTGTAAACTCAAACTCCTGGGCTCAAGGGATTCTCCTGCCTCAGCCTCCTGAGTAGCTGGGACTACAGGAGCACACCACCACGTCCAGCTAATTTTTAAACATTTTTTGGGGCAGGGCGTGGTGACTCACACCTGTAATCCTAGCACTCTGGGAGGCCGAGGTGGGTGGATCACTCAAGGTCAGGAGTTCAAAACCAGCCTGAGCAAGAGCGAGACCCCGTCTCTACTAAAAATAGAAAGAAATTAATTGGACAACTAAAAATACATAGAAAAAATTAGCCAGGCGTGCTGGTGCATGCCTGTAGTCCCAGCTACTCAGGAGGCTGAGGCAGAAGGATCGCTTGAGCCCAGGAGTTTAAGGTTGCTGTGAGCTAGGCTGATGCCATGGCACTTTAGCCTGGGCAACAGAGTGAAACTCTGTCTCAAAAAAAAAAAAAAAAAATTATTTTGTAGAGACAGGGTCTTGCTATATTGCCCAGGCTGGTCTCAAACTCCTGACCTCATGCAATCTCCTCTCCCAAAGTGCTGGGATTATAGGCATAAACCACAGTGCCTGGTCTATGATCCATTTTGAGTTAATTTTTGTATAAAGTGTGAGGTGTAGATTGAGGTTCTTTTTTTTGAATATGGATGTCCAATTGTTGTAATATCATTTATTGAAAAGACCATCCTTTTTCCACTGAATTGCCTTGGCACCTTTGTAAAAGCAGTTGATCATATTTGAGCGGGTCTATTTTGGGGCTCTATTCCGATCCACTGCTGACCTGATATTTAAAGGTGACAGTGACAAGGATCTCACCGTATAGTTCCAACCCCAGAGAGGACAACCTGATGCAGTAGTCAAAAGCCTGACTGCATGCTTAGGCAAGGCTGCTGATCCTCATGCTCACCAGGCAGACTGTGGACCTGTAGGGCAGTCACACCTCATCCGCACTTCCGAGAGGGAGCCTCCAGGCACGGAGAGTGCCCAGCACCATCTGGGGAATATCTGCGGGGAAATGATTACCTTTCTTCCATTTGTTTCATGCTGGACATAACTTGGTTCATTTTTCCTTCAAAGGATGTGATGGCTTCATCCTTCTGCTGTAAGCTGCTCTCCGCACTCTACAAAAGCAAGGGAAAAGGTTCACACACGACCTGTCCCTTACTCCAATGCCTGTTGGATTACAAATGTAGTTTAACTCTTACCTTTGTACTTTTCTTACTCTTTTTCAAGAGTATTTCATTAATTGCTGCTCTTCACTAGAGCCCTGGAAGACAAGCTGGGTCAAGGCTCCTAGCTTTGTCTATAGAAAGGCGAAGAGGGAGGTAGTGGGGTGTCCCCGCTCCTTTCTGACGAGGAATTCCAGAGTCGGGTCAGGGTCAGACTTGGCATTCCTGAGCTGTCCCCGTTTGCCAGGCACATTCCCTAGTTCACCCGAACTGAAGGGCTGGTTCAAGGGAGATGTCAGCCCCACTTCTCCCATTAAGAGTGGGAGGCTCAGAAAGAAAAAGCAGCTGTTTGAAGGTGAGAGAACAAATGAGGGCTGGGGCTGGGTTTACACCCACATCTGCGTGGCTTCATGCGTCCAGGCTTTTAACCTTGACAGTCATGGAGGGGGCACTGTGTGCTCCTGTGTGTTTATAACAGACTCCCTTAAACTAAAAGGGTACAGAAAGGCTGATGAAAGAAGTCCTAATAAATGCCTAAGAAATAACAGACAGCATTTCCTGATCTTTTTTTTTTTTTGAGACAGAGTCTCGCTTTGTTGCACAGGCTAGAGTGAGTGCCGTGGCGTCAGCCTAGCTCACAGCAACCTCAAACTCCTGGGCTCAAGCGATCCTCCTGCCTCAGCCTCCTGAGTAGCTGGGACTACAGGCATGCGCCACCACGCCCGGCTAATTTTTTTTATATATATATTAGTTGGCCAATTAATTTCTTTCTATTTATAGTAGAGACGGGGTCTCGCTCTTGCTCAGGCTGGTTTCGAACTCCTGACCTCGAGCAATCCGCCCGCCTCGGCCTCCCAGAGTGCTAGGATTACAGGCTTGAGCCACCGCGCCCGGCCTCCCTGATCTTAATGTAACAAAATTAGAAACTAACAAAAAAAGAATAGCTCAAAATACCCCATATCTGAAAACTACATAGCATATTACCAAGAACTACTAAGCTAAAAAACAAATTGGAAGGGAAATTATGAAATACTCAGAGGAAAAAGACAATACAAATACTATGTGCTATTTCACTGCATAGAAAATGCCACGAGAGTCAGGCATTATACTGCGATGGAGGAACTTTTTAGATGCATTTCTTTTAAAATAAGAACTATAAATTTGCTCATAATTTCTACTAGTGTTTAATGTAGTCCTTGAGTCCCCTGTCAATGCTACAAGAAATGAAAAAAGAAATTAAGTACAGAAATTTAGAATGAAGAGATTAAACTTAATTTTTCAATGATATGATTGATTACATTAAAAACCAACAGGGGCCGGGCGTGGTGGCACATGCCTGTAATCCTAGCACTTTGGGAGGCCGAGGTGGGCGGATTGCTCCAAGGTCAGAGTTCGAAACCAGCCTGAGCGAGACCCATCTCTACCAAAAAATAGAAATAAATTAATTGACCAACTAAAAATATATATACAAAAAATTAGCCGGGCATGGTGGTGCATGCCTGTAGTCCCAGCTACTCGGGAGGCTGAGGCAGGAGGATCGCTGAGCCCCGGAGATTGAGGTTGCTGTGAGCCAGGCTGACGCCAGGGCACTCACTCTAGCCTGGGCAACAAAGTGAGACTCTGTCTCAAAAAAAAAAAACAAAACAAAACAAAAAAAAAAAAAACCAACAGGACCAGCAGACAAGCTACCGGAATGGGGTGCTGAGCAAGGCTGTCAGATACACGATGAACTTGCAAGAACAGCAGCGCTGCTCCATACCAGCAAGGCCCAAGAGAAGGAAGCAAAAGTCAAGCACCAGCCACACTAACAACGAGAACTACAAAGAATTTAGGAATTCACCTAGAGAAAATGCAAGACCATTACGGGGTAAAAAGGACCAAAAACAAAAAACAAAAAAAAGGAGTATCAGAATAAACAGAGAGCTATCCCATGCACTTGTATGGAATGACTTTGTAGAATAGAGAGCACAATTTTTTTTCCCCAAATTAATCTATAAATTCAACATAATCCTCATTTAAGAAATTCAGTTGGGGGCCAGGTGTGGTAGCCCAGGCCTGTAATCCTAGCACTCTGGGAGGCTGAGGCGGGAGGATCGTTCGAGGTCAGGAGTTCGAGACCAGCCTGAGCAAGAGCAAGACCCTATCTCTACTAAAAAATAGACAGAAATTAGCCGGATAACTAAAAATATATACAGAAAAAAATTAGCCGGGCATGGTGGCACATGTTTGTAGTCCCAGCTACTCGGGAGGCTGAGGTAGGAGGATTGCTTGAGCCTGGGAGTTTGTACTCTAGCTGGGCAACAGAGTGAGACTCTGTCTCGGAAAAAAAAAAAAAAATTCAGTTGGGTTTTAAAAAGAAAATTTATTAACTTATTCTAAAATTTTTATCAAAAATAAGGGTGTAGCCAGGTGTGGTGGCTCACACCTGTAACCACAGCTACTCAGGAGGCTGAGGTGGGAGGATCACTTGAGGCCAAAAGTTTGAGACTAGCCTGGACTACACAGTGAGACCTTGATTCCTTAAAAAAAAAAAAAAAAAATTAGCCAGGTGCGTGCTGTGCCACTGTAGTCCCAGCTACTCAGGAGGCTGAGGCAGGAGGATGGCTTGAGCCCAGGAGTTTGAGGCTGCTGTGAGCTATGATAACAGCACTGCACTCTAGCCTGGGCAACAGAGAACTTGCCTCAAAAAAAGTCTACAAACAGATAAGTCAAGAAAGGGGGGAAAAATGAAGAGCAAAGAGGGCAAGCCTGACCTCTGTTATGGGTTGAGCTGTGACCCCTCAAATTCATATGCTGAAGTTCTGACCCCCAGCACCTTACAATGTGACCGTTTGGAAATAGGGTTGTTTTAACATAACTAGTTAAGGTGAGGTCATACTGGGATAGGGTAGGCCCTTAATGCAATATGAGGGGAAATTTGGACACATACATGCACACAGGCAGAATGCTGTGTGAATATGATGGCAGAGATGGGGATGATGTTTCTCCAAGCCAAAGAATGCCAAAGATTGCCAGAACCACCAAAAGCTAAGAGAGAGGGATGGGAGAGATTCTTTCTCACAGCTTTCAGAAGAAACCAACTCTGCTGACACCTTAATTTCAGACTTTTGGCCTCCAGAACCAAGAGACAGTACATTTCTGTTAAGCCACCTAGTTTATAGTACTTTGTCACAACAGCCCTAGCAAACTAATACAACCTACTATCCATTAAAACATACTGTGAAGCTACAGTAATTAAAACATTAGACTAATGAATAGAATAGAGACCTCAGACAGTTTCATTTTATATAGGACCATAATATACAATGGAGGTGGCAATATACAAAGGCAAATGCCAGATACATTCAAAACCTAAATGTGAGGCCGGGTGCAGTGGCTCATGCCTGTAATCCTAGCACTCTGGGAGGCCCAGGCGGGCGGATTGCTCAAGGTCAGGAGTTTGAAACCAGCCTGAGCAAGAGTGAGACCCCGTCTCTACTAAAAATAGAAAGAAATTAGTCAGACAACTAAAAAAATATATAGAAAATATTAGCCAGGCACGGTGGTGCATGCATGTGGTTCCAGCTACTTGGGAGGCTGAGGCAGGAGGATTGCTTGAGTCCAGGAGTTTGAAGTTGCTGTGAGCTAGGCTGACACCACAGCACTCCAGGCAGGGCAGCAGAGTGAGACTCTGTCTCAAAAAAACAAAAACAAAAACAAAAAAACAAACCTAAATGTGAAAGGTAAAACTAGGGTAGGATATCTTTGACACCCAGGCATGAGAAAGGGCTTTTTAAACAACCCCCCAACTACAAACCCACAAGGTACATATGACTACACCAAAAATAAAGACTATGGTTACTAGATTAACAGACTAGGAGAGGATATTTACAATATGTAAACCAATAAGGGACTAATATTTGGACTATACAGTCCACAGAATTACTGCTAATCAGCAAGGAAAGACAGGAAATGCAAAAGAAAAGAGGACAAGAAATATGAACAGGCAAGTCACAAAGAGGGAGACATGAATGGCTAACACACGTATGAAGGGGTGTTCAGCCTCCTAGATTGAGAGGAAAATACTGGAACAGGTGGAAACTCCCACACGTGCGTCGCCACCCGCAGCCCGAGCGCCTGCGGGCGCAGCCCTTCAGGAACGCGGCATGGCTGTGCGCTCGGGCGCAGAGGCTGACCAGCAGTTGCAGTCCAGGTTAGCAGGCTGGGGAAGGACGCCCAGGTTCCCAAATGGTGTGCGCAAACCAGTCCCCAGGGCCGTGCGTGCTGGGGGGTCTGGAGGGAACCGGCCTGTTGCTGGGGGCGCACCTTGGGGTGCCGAGCCGTGGAGCAGCGCTCAGAGGGCAAGGGAAAGGCTGAGACCTCCACGTCGGTGGTGTGCCACCCACGGTACCACTCGGCAAATTAAAACCCATGTGCTCGGAAGGACACGACATGTCTTAGAAGGATAAATATGAACAAAAACAAAACACTTTAGAATGCTGGCCCGTGGGAAAGAGGACAGGAGGAGGGAAGGAGGGGAAAAGGAAATATGAAAACAAGAGAAGTGTTTTTAGGACAGTGTGCCTCAAAATGAGGAATAAGACTGACCCAACCTTTAACATCTGAAGCCCAAAGGGGAAAAAAGGGTTTGGAGAGAAAACCAAGATGATACAGTCAATCCCAGCAGTGTCAGAGGCTCACCTGGAGGGTGGCACTGCTGCAGAGAGACACGGCCATGTGGGCGTGGCCTGGCAGCTGGGTAGGTGTTGCGCGAGCAGACCTACACGCCGGGCTGCTGACCCTGTCTGCTATGGCAGGGCGTCTGGGACAGCTGGCACGTGACCCAGCTTGGAGAAGAGCACATGCCACCTGTGCCAGCGCTCCGTGGGAGGTGCGTGTGCAGTGAGGGAGGACGGGCACAGTGAGGTTGGCTGGTCTGCACAGACATGAACAGGTACAGGGAGAGTCCAAAGGTAGGGAGCTTGCAGGACTAGGAAAGCCAACTACTTCTGGACCCTAAAGTAGTGGAGATAAGACTAAGAACTGAGTGATGAAGGCCCTGTCAGACGTCCCTGCCATAAAAAAAGCAGGTCAAGGGTGCTTGCCTCCCACATCAATCTGTTCTTTCAGATGAGCAGCCATGCAAACAGACAGAGAAACAGAGACAGGGACAGGGACGGACACACAGACACATAGACAGGAGCGAAGGATAAAAGCAATGAGGCAGGTGCAAGAACTGTGTCCAGTGAGGAACCCTGGTCACTGACACAGAGGCCAGTGGAATAAACACAGAGCTATGACTGAGGCAACTGTGCTGTCAAAGCAACCATGAGTCTAGTCTGAAAAATGCCTGTGAGCATCTTATCCCTCCCACAAGTGCCAGGTTGGCACAGGGATACCAGCAAGAAACTGGCCGTAAAAGCTGTGTGGTCTCCTTCATCCTTCAAATGTGGCCACGGACAATGGTGACCCTTTCAAGGCCCATGGAGGTCAGCTGATAAAGCTCCTTTACAAGGCAGGAGCACAGTGGCTCACTGTGTAAGAAGCAGAGCCCGGCCAGGCGTGGTGGCTCACGCCTGTAATGCTAGCACTCTGGGAGGCCGAGGTGGGCAGATTGCTCGAGGTCGGGAGTTCAAAACCAGCCTAAGTGAGACCCCGTCTCTACTAAAAATAGAAAGTAATTAATTGACCAACTAAAAATATATATACAAAAAAAAAATTAGCCGGGCATGGTGGTGCATGCCTGTAGTCCCAGCTACTTGGGAGGCTGAGGTAGGAGGATTGCTTGAGCCCAGGAGTTTGAGGTTGCTGTGAGCTAGGCTGATGCCACGGCACTCACTCTAGCCTGGGCAACAAAGTGAGACTCTGTCTAAAAAAAAAAAAAAAAAGGCAGCAGAGCCCACTGGCAGGTGCAGCAGGTTTGACAGTTCCTGCCCTGAGCTGTGTGACCAGTGACTGCAGTGTGTTTCCCTTTTCCAAAGGGTCACTTCCACCGTGTCTTGTTTCTGCTCTACCATCTGACGCTAGTGTGACTGGCTAGGGTGAGAGATGGCGAGTCTCCCAGTTTGCAGGTCAAGTGGGCTGCAGCAGCTGCGCGTCAGCCAGGACACCAACTTGGGAGAAGATGCAGGGTCTGGACAGGACCTCTGGGCAGCTACCATGGGGTTGGCTGTGAGAGGGACCATTTCCCGTCTATCTCTTCTGCCCTCATCTTGCTACTTGTAGCCCAGGAAAAATGCTATTCCCAGGCCCCCTGACGCCAAGAATGGCTGAAAAACTAAAGTAGCTCGTGCGACTTCTGTTTCGCTGTCTCAGGAAGTCCCTGACTCTGAACAATTTTCCTCCCCTTCAGTGGCAGGAATGGTGACGAGCAAAGTGGCTAGGAAAGCTGGAGCCGTACCAGCCAGGCCCCGAATGACTGCGGGGAGCAGAGCTGTCCGTCTGAAATGCTCACCTTGGAACAGTTATATGACAGAGATGCAGATGCCCAGATCTCTCAGCTACACTATTTTAGGTCCTGCTAAATTATTACAGCAGTTTAGTTCCCAAAACTAACACACGTTATACATATATAATACTGATCAAAACCAGAAGAAAATGTAAAAATATTTAAAATAGACAATTTGTCAGGAGGATAAAACTATTTCCCTCCTTTCCTCTTTTGTTTTACTTTAATTTTCATTGTTGCTGTTATATTGATTATATAATAATTTAAAAAGAGAGAGGAAAAAATAACATAGTTTATTAGTAGTCTCTACTCTCACATTCACATTATCTTTGACAGAGTTGTTAGTGGAAATGAGAGTGAAACCATATCCACGGAAAATGAGGTGTGACTGTTTTGGCAATAAAATAGGAAACAGAAAGTCAAAAAAAGAAAAGTTTTAAGAAGGACACGGAATGGCGCCCTTTTGGGTAGCTTCTGGGCAAAAAAGCTTCCCAACTTTTAGATACTATTTTTCAAACTCTGGGACGATTGAGTTTTTCTGGGCTAGTTTCCCTGCACCACTCTGAAATGACGTAGGAGAGGCAAGCAGCTACAGCTGTGTGGCCCAGAAGACTCAGCAAGACTTTTTTTTTTAGAGACAAACTCTCACTCTGTCACCTGGGATACAGTGCAGTGGCCCAATCATAGCTCACTGCAACTTCAACCTCCTGGGCTCAAGCGATTCCCCCACCTCAGCCTCCCAGGTTGTTAGAACTATAGGTGTAAGATACCATGCCGGGCTGATCTGTAAATTTTTTGTGAAGATGGGGTCTCCCTATGTTGCCCAGGCTGGTCTCTAACTCTGGGCATCAAGATCCTCCTGCCCCGGCCTCACACAATGCTGGGATTACAGGTGTGAGCCACCACACCTGGCAAGATTAAGTTAATAGCAAGTTAAGATTAACTTAATGGCAAAGTTTGAAAAAATAATACTAAATGATATCCTTAATCTACTTCTCGTTTGTTGGTGGAAATAATTAGTTACTTAAATAGAAGGAAACAGTGAGCAAGAAGACAGTGAAGGCGGGGCGGACAAAGTTTGGGTTTGGATTAAAGACATGGCTCAGTTTTCAGCTCTATTTAGTAGCTGTGCCACTAGGCACATGTGATTTTGCCACTTGGTTCTGCCTTGTCACTTACATTTCTCCCTATTTCTCAGGGATCCATGCTGTGAGGATCAAATAAAATAAATGCAATCACATGTGACAGGGCTGGGACCAGCTCTGGCGCACACGAGGGTGCGCTCTGTGGGAGGATGATGCAGGGCTGGCAGGCAGCAGAAACCAGGCTGTGATACAGACACAAAGGCAACTCCCACCTGAACTTTGTGAAACATCTGTAAATTAATCGCTTTGACCTCTTCCAGCTGCTGGCGGAGGGCAACGAGTGTGTCCTGCTTCTCGTGGGTGTCCTTTTCCAGTAATTTCATTGCAATTTCCATTTCAGTTTTCATTCCAATTTGTAACTCCAGTTCTTTTTCTAGTTCCTTAAAAGGATATGTACAAGGAAAATGTTATTAAAGTAGATCACAGAAATGTATTTAACTGAGGTTGTATCTTGGGCAATGCCTAAAATGCAAAATCCTAAAGGTCCAAACAGGTCAGGGAGATTGAGACGAGTCTGCAGCAGAACCAGAGGACATTTTTTCTCACTGTGCAATTAAAGCTGGCTCCACACCAAGCCAACAGAAAGCTGGTCATTGGCAAGAGGGGGCTAGATTCCCAGCACCCACGGCCCTTAAACCCACAGATCAGAACGCAGTCTCACGAGCGTCTGTCTTGTGTGTGAGCGCTGGGAGGGATCTGACCGGGTAGTGTTAGAATTTCTGGAATGGTTTGCTAGCTTATGGCAACAAAGGTGAAACCATTTTTAAATGGTTTTGTCCTAGATAAGTTAGTACACGTTTCCCTGCATCCATGCAAAGAAGCAAAGAAATAAAGCAGGTGCAAGAAAAGTGTTTAATAGAGAACTTTGGTCACTGATACGCAGATTGAACAGAAATAGGCCAGAGGCCATGACTGAGAGAACTATGTAGTCAGAGAAACTGTGAGTCTAGTCTCAAACAATCCCTGGAAAAGGTTTAGAAAATGGGAAAAAATATAAGTGACAATGTAGAACTGACTTGTAAACAAATGGACAAAACAACTTTTTTTTTTTTTTTATTTTATTTATTATTATTTTTTTTTTGAGACAGAGTCCTCCTTTGTTGCCCGGGCTAGAGTGAGTGCCGTGGCTCAGCTAGCTCACAGCAACCTCAATCCTGGGCTCAAGCAATCCTCCTGCCTCAGCTCCAAGTAGCTGGGATACAGGCATGGCCACCACCTGCGCGCTAATTTTTTGTATATATTAGTTGGCCATTAATTTCTTTCTATTTATAGTAGAGACGGGGTCTTGCTCTTGCCAGGCTGGTTTCGAACTCCCTGACCTTGAGCAATCCACCCGCCTCGGCCTCCCAAAGAGCTAGGATTACAGGCGTGAGCCACAGCGCCCGGCCGACAAAACAACTTTTGACTTCCCATGAGCATGTATTTGAAAAGCACTGACGATTTAACTTAGAGAGCCATCAGGGAACTCTTCCCAAAGACATTCAGTCTCCCACACTCACCACTCGGACTTTCTTCTCCTCTTTTAGCTGCTTCCACACATCACTATACATTTCATCCAGACCTTGCCGGGTCTGCTTGTAAGTCTCCAGCTCAACTTCGGTATCCTGCTTTGTCATCTATATCAAACAAGAACACCAGAGGAATGGCTTGCTTATGGAAAGCAAGCTAATTACAAAGTATTTAAAAATATATAATTTAAAAAAATGTAGGATAATATTTCTTTTTCTTTTTTGAAACACAGTCTCACTCTGTTGCCTGGGCTAGAGTGCCGTGGCGTCAGCCTAGCTCACAGCAACCTCAAACTCCTGGGCTCAAGCGATCCTCCTGCCTCAGCCTCGAGTAGCTGGGACTACAGGCATGCGCCACCATGCCCGGCTAATTTTTTCTATTTTTAGTAGAGATGGGGTCTCGCTCTTGCTCAGGGTGGTCTAGAACTCCTGAGCTCAACCGATTCTCCCGCCTTGGCCTCCCAGAGTGCTAGATTACAGGCGTGAGCCAGCACACGTGGGTCTTTCTTCTTTTTGCTATAGAATGAAGTGTTCCTCAGTTTCTATTTTGTAAGCATGATAGAAAAAGGTCAAAGTATTAAAGGTATCAGAATTTGAAAATAAAGGACTAGAGCAAGCTAATAGATTTGTAAAAAGTTAGGTTCATAAAGCAATTTATATTTAATTTTCTTTAAAACAGACAATAGTGCTTTGCAGGGAAGGCCCCCAGTCAATCCGTTCAGTGCTTTTAGCACTCAGTAGATTTTAGGGTGAATCAGGTACGGTCTCTGTCCCTGAGACATTAGGTGAGACGCAGCCACGAGACCGCAGTTCCACAAAACAACCAATGGTTCTACGATGGATGGATGTACAGAACACTATGGAAATACGGGAGGAGGCCTAAGCCACCACCGGCCCCAGGGATGGCACTACAGAGGGTTTAGCACGTGAGTGGAAGCTCAGGAAAGAGCAGGGACTGTCGGATGCAGAGGGACAGAGGTGAGGGAGTCCGAGTGGCCCAGTGCCCTGGGAGTGATGTGGCAGTGGCAGCGGCACTGCTGGCACCAAACAAGGCGCCTCTGCAATTCTGAGGACTGGGTCATTCGACTAAGCTTGAGACAGACGATGGGGACGTCAGAGTGTGAAACGGGCCGCCCGACTGTAAGGTCGATTTCTCACCTCTGCACTCTTTTCACTTCTTTCTCGAATTAAATCATTTTGTTCTCTTAATTGTTGCCGTTCTTCTTCAAGTGAATAAATCCGGTCTGTTGCAGCTGAAAGCTGAGTAAGAAAGATTTTGATATTTCTTAATATCATAATTAATCTTACCGTTTAAATTAAAAGCTAGAACTTATTTGGCATCTTTATAATTTGCAATGTATTTTCACATGCTTGATATTTTATTTCCTTGTTTTTTTTTTGTTTGTTTGTTTGTTTTTGAGACAGAGTCTTACTTTGTTGCCCGGGCTAGAGTGCTGTGCCATCAGCCTAGCTCACAGCAACCTCAAACTCCTGAGCTCAAGTAACCCCTCTGCCTCAGCCTCCTGAGTAGCTGGGACTACAGGCATGCGCCACCATGCCCGGCTAATATTTTCTATATATTTTCAGTTGTCCAGCTAATTTCTTTGTATTTTTAGTAGAGACGGGTTCTTGCTCTTGCTCAGGCTGGTTTCGAACTCCTGACCTTGAGCCATTCTCCCACCTTGGCCTCCTAGGATTACAGGCGTGAGCCACCGTGCCCGGACCTTATTTCCTTGTTTTGATTAGGTAATACATGGTTCTAAATTTCAAAGATATAAAAATGTATGTAGTAAATCTCTCTCCCACTTTGCCCCCAGTCATCTCTGCCCTCCCTTTACAGAAAGGATTATATACTACTTAATGTGGACAAAGATTTACAGACACAAAAAATTTAAAATAGCCTGAATGTCCACTATTATAGAAGTGGTTAAATAAATTATAGTGAAAGCATCAAATAGAAATATGTAGTTATTAAAATGCTTACAAAAGTTTTTAATGACTTGAGAACATATTTAAGATATAATACCAATAGGAAAAAAAAAGGAGGTTATATATGGTATGCTCTCATCTATAACTAAAAAAAAGAACCAAGTTAAAAATGCTTAAGATGAGGACAATAGACATTAAATGATAAAAATAGCTGTCACTTAGCAAAGTGATTATAGATTTTTAATATTTTTTATAATCAAAGAAAGTTTTTATTTCTAAGAGACAGGATCTTGCTCTGTCATCCAGGCTGGAGTGCAGCAGCACGATCATAGCTCACTGCAGCCACGAATTCCTCGGCTCCAGTGATCCTTCCATCTTAGCCTCCTATAGGTGGAACTATAGGTGTGTGCCACCACATGCATCTAATTTTAAAATTTTTGGAGAGAGAGGGTCTTGCTATGTTGCCCAGGCTGGTTTCAAACTCTGGACCTCAAGTGATCCTCTTGCCTCAGCCTCCCGAGAAGCTGGGACTGCAGGCGTGTAACACCACGCCTAACTCATAGGTTTTGCTCTGATTCTTCATTCTTTTAAGTGTTTCTATCAGATGAGCAGAAGTATATTTTATCACTAGAGAGAGAAATAAAGATTTTGGAGGGAGGAATCAAAAACAAATCCTTAACCACTTCGGTATGAGTGTCCATGCACAGTCCAGCGTCGACTGTAGTTGACAGCTACAGATGAACATGCACGGCTGAGTGTCAACTGCAGCCGACAGCCATGATATGACTTTTTAAATTTTTCATTTATCAAAATAAAATTGTGAACATTTAAAAATAATAAACATATATGTCTATGTTCCCTATTCTGATTTACATGACAAGTAAAGCTGCCTGTAAAGTAAAACAAGCGTTCAGTGCTTTGAAGCTTTCCTCCTCACACAAGAGCAAAACAGACCCGCCGTCAATGCGCAGCGCACACCACCGTGCGGACTGTGAGTGCCGCTGCGGGCGAGGTTTCGCAGCCCGTGAGCACTGCACCCAAGTGGTTAAAGAGGAACTTTTCCTCTCCTGGAATGAGTTAGAGTGGGGAAGTTTAGGGAAAAGCTTATGGAAGCAGGATGCTTTCATGGCCCTGCCTCAGGAGAGGCTATCCTGAGAGGCAAGGCGGGTGTGTAAATATACCCACCACCCCCTCTGTTCCAGCCTCAGAGCCCAGCCGGCGGAGTGGGCATGATGCTGGAGGAGGAGAAAGCAGCAAGACCTTTGTCCTTGGTACGTGGCTGTGCTCTCAGCACCATTCACTCACGGAGGGACCCTAAAGCCTGAAACTCCTCACCTCTTTGTCAACAGCACTGATAGTCCCTTAGACCCAGGTCTGGGGTTCCTAGACCTAACTGCTGTGCCCAAATCGGAACCTTTGAGCCTCTGATGGAGGGGTGAGTTGCTAAAGAGGAAGGAGCAGGCAAACTCTGTGAGCTCATTGCCACCCCATGCTCGGAAGATGCAGAGAGCACACCCTGAAAAGAGGTATACGTTTCTCCAAAGCACATTTCCTATTACAGTCATTTGCCTTTAAAGAAAACATAACCCAGTTTTCTGGTCTCAAAACCTTGCTGAGAGAACTAAGAGTAAATCTGCTTGTTCTAAATCAAACAATTCCTAAGGTACCTCCCCATGCCAAGTGTTTTATTAGGCGTATCTATGATATTAATCTTACTTAACCTTTACAACAATATTGTAACTTATGTATTATTACCTAATTTGGAGATAAGAAAGTGAGGCTCCAAGGCCGACCAACAAGGTGAATGCAAACCCTCCAATGCTAAGTTCAGTGATGTTCCTCCCATGGTGATCTACGAACACTATCTTTGAATTTCCCTCTACTCACACAAATCTGAGCTCCTCCCCTGACAGTCTTTCAGGGCCTGCCCCTCAGGAGAGAACAGTCAGTTTAAAGGGAGACTTAAATGGGGGTCCTTCGATATAGGAAATGTTCTGAGACTTTCCTTTGGCTGGAACCCGCCTCTAGGCCATGGAGGTGTTCATTCTCAAACCCCCTCTCAAAGCCCTCTCCCTTCCCAATGAGACTAGGTGGGGAGGCTTGGGCCGCCATGGACCGCTACCTGTGGAAAGCCTCAGAAAGGCTGTGCAACCCCCCTCCTGCTAACAGGAGACAAGATGTGTCCACCAAGGAGACTGCCGGGCAGCTGGCAGCAAGCTCTCTTCCTCGGCCTCAGCCCTCCTTCTTCCTGTCCTTTCATTCTCTCTTCCTAGTGAGAAAGCAGAGAAAGACCACACTGTGGGGAGACTGGTTCCGTGCTCTTGAGAGGCCGAAGGAGAAGGGTGGGCTAGGGTACTCACACTTTGTAACAGAGTCTGTGCCTTCTGGGGCAGCAGGGAGGCACATGACATCACAGGAAAGGCAGAAAAAGAGGAAGAAATTGCACTTTGACAACAAAAGTTGGGTATTTCCAATGAGGAATTTTTTTTCTATTGGACTACTTTGAGGTGATAAAACCTAAGTCACTTAGAACTGGATTATGATCATCTGCAGTATCTCACTGGGAGCCCTAGACAGGGCAGAACACAGACACTCTCCTGTCCCACGTACAGTGCAATTCCCCTTCCTACCAGCAAGAAGCTCTGGTTAGACAGACCAACTATGCCATTTCTCTTAACCTTGGGTTGTTCTGTTTTGTTTAAGAGTTTCAGTAAGTTACAAACCTCTTCTTGAAGTTTTGAATTTGTCTTTTCCAAGGCATCTATCTTGATTTGCAGATCCCCAACTGTGCAGCTGTAGAAAATAAAATTATTAGGCAAACCTGAACTTATATAAGCTGACTGTTCTCCCAACCTCTAAACAGTAAGAAAAATTCCTAGATTTCCTGTATTAAATGGAAAGGCAAAGGGTCTCCAATTAACTCAGAGGAGATGAGAATTCTAAGTGTGTATGTGTGAGTGTGTACGTGTATGTATAGACACACATACACTCATTTTTCAGTAAGTTTTATCTCTCAGATATGTTATTCATTCTTAGTTAATTGAAAAGGAAATATTTTTTCCCCAAACACAATAGATGATGGGAACAAAAATGTGTTGGCAGTCATGTATCTAAAGTAATATTCATGGCTGGGCATGGTAGCTCATGCCTATAATCCCAGCACTCTGGGAGGCCAAGGCAGGAGGATTGCTTGAGGCCAGGAATTTGAGACCAAGAATAGCGAGACCCTATCTCCATAAAAAATAAAATTAAAAAAATTAACCAGGTGTGGTGGCACATGCCTGTAGTCCTAGTTACTTGGGAGGCTGAGGCACGAAGAATTGCTTGAGCTCAGGAGTTTAAGGCTGCAGTGAACTATGATCATGACATTGAACTCCAGCCTGGGTGATAGAGTAAGACCTCATCTCAAAAAAAAAAAAAAGTTAATCATCACCACAATAATAGTAATTTATTTTTTTAGAATATGTGCCAGATCTTGTTTGTTCTAAGCACTTTAAACGCATCAACTCATTTAATCTTCCCTACAGTTCGAGGAGGTAGACCCTGTTATTAACCTACTTTACAGATGAGGTCCTAAACTTTATGAATCTGGCTCCAGAGCCTGTACTTTTAGGCAACAGGCCACACTGCCAAAAATCGGTCCCTTTTGCCAGTGAGAGGGACAAAGAAATAAACCTGCTAAGGTCAATGAAATGAAGGTTCAGGAATTGGGCAGGAGAAAAATAAAAATACAAAGATGTAAAATGAAAAAGTAAAAAAAAAAAAAAAGATATGGAGGCAATGAAAAGTTCTCACAGTATACAATATTTAATTCTATACCAACTATATAATTTAAAAATACCCATAAAATTTACATTTTTCTTAGAAAATATAAATTACCAAAAATAGACGTATCCTTACCTAGATGAGCTAACAATTAAGGAAAAACTGAAAAGCTGGCAAAATATTGTCTCATAAAGGCTTTGAGTTTCCCATTTTCAAGGAGCAAATAATGCCCATGACCTGAAGCTGTTCCCAGGCACAGAAATTAGGTAAAGCTTACTAATTCATATTGTGAGGCTGCATAACCCTGATATGACACCAGAGAAAGAAAACTATAAAACAGTTAAGTCAGCTTACATGTTAAAAGGATGGCTAAATTATTAAAACTATCATCAAGTAGAGTTTACCCCTGTAATACAGGAATGGTTTGATATGAAAGATCCATTAATAAAATGCATCACATTTATTAATAAGGAGATAAGGGCTAAAAACCATGATTGCTTTAATGAATGCTAAAGTCATTCGATAAAATTCAATATCTATTCCTTATAAAAACTCTCAATAAAGTAGGAATCAATCAAGGATCACTCTCAAAAATAGCCAACACAGCCAGGTGAGGTGGCTTACACCTTTAATCCTAGCACTCTGGGAGGCCGGGGAGGGAGGATTGTTTGAGCTCAGGAGTTCGAGACCAGCCTGAGCAAGAGCGAGACCCCGTCTCTACCATAAATAGAAAGAAATTAGCCAAACAACTAAAAATAGAAAAAATTAGCCAGGTATGGTGGCACATGCCTGTAGTCCCCTACCCAGGAGGCTAAGGCAGGATTGCTTGAGCCTAGGAGTTTGAGGTTGCTGTGAGCTAGGCTGATGCCACCGTACTCTAGCCTGGGCAACAGAGTAAGACTGTCTCAAAAATAAATAAATAAATAAATAGCCAACATCAGTTAAGGAGAACCTCAGAGCAGTATTTCCTAAGTGTGTCTGGAGGAACACGCCAGCTTCCTTGTCTGGCTTTTGGGGCCAGTGGCTGCCCCTGTGGAGCACTGCAAATGTGCACTGTACTCTCTAGAGCAGGGGTCCTCAAACTTTTTAAACAGGGGGCCAGTTCACTGTCCCTCAGATCATTGGAGGGCCGGACTATAGTTTAAAAAAAACTATGAACAAATTCCTATGCACACTGCACATATCTTATTTTGAAGTAAAAAAACAAATGGGCAAAAACACCCGCATGTGGCCCGCGGGCTGTAGTGTGAGGACGCCTGCTCCAGAGGGAGCTCAGAGAGAGAATAACCTGTCTTCCAAACACATTAGGCTGAGCGCCCCCTGGACTCGCCACCAACACCTCTAAGGACTAGTGTTTCAAGAAACACATCAGCAATTTTCCAGCTAAAATAAAAAGTCCAGATAAAGATGCCTGTACTCATGATCACATTGCTCTGGAAGCCTAGCCCAGTGGTTTTCAATCCTTTTTTCCTGCCCCAGTGCACCCCAGGGCTGCGCGCTAACTCCCAGCAGCAACAGTGTGTAGAGTGTCTGTTTAATGTATTTACCTCTCCACACCGTATACTACATGAGGCAAAGAACCAGAGACTTCCCAAGAAGAAATCTTACTTCTCCAGTCTGTGCATATGAATGTTACCTGAATGATGACCTTTTTTCTTGGTTTGGAAAAGTTAGTTATAAATACATGGCAACCCATGAAACAATGTCAGGAATGACAGGATACCAAGTGTGTAACTGTAACACTGATAAAAAGGAGTGAGTCCTACCTCAAGTGCCGGTTAAGTTCTTCCACATAATTTTTTTGATCAAGGACATCAGTAATTCTTTCGTGCCTTTTAAAAAGAGCATAAAAAGGGATAAATTTTTAAATTTGTGGTTAATACTTTGTAACTGTCTCTAACCTTCCTAACAAGAAGGTTATAGAAATACCAGTGTCTTTAGGAGACCAAGAGACTGTCAGAGCTTAGTAACGTCTACATGGTGCCAGAGTAAACAGAGAGCACATCTGGTCTGGGAACAGGCTCCAGGGGAGGAGGCTCCCTGCAGACACCTTCCCCCTTCTGCAGACGGAGTCTCTGGGGTGAGGAGAGAAAGCCATGTGCAAACGGCTCCTACTGTACTGAAGGAAAGGAGGCTCACCCAGGATAGGATTCCACTGAGACTTTGTAAACACAAAGCTTATCAGTCTAAAGGCCAGGAAATTTGGGTTTAAAAAATGTCTTTGATATTTTAAAGTTAGGCTCTCCCCTTAATTTCCTTTTTCTTATGCAAAAGTTAAAAATGTAGTTTATTGAAAGATATTTATCTTCTCACAGAGCAACAGCAAACAATCCAAACTAAAAGTTTAAATAAACATAAATAACTTTAAAACTAATAGTATAGGCTGGGTGTGGCGGCTCACACTTGAAATCCTAGCACTCTGGGAGGCCAAGGCAGGCGGATTGCTCGAGGTCAGGAGTTTGAAACCAGCCTGAGCATACTATAAATAGAAAGAAATTAATTGGCCAACTAATATATATAGAAAAAATTAGCCGGGCATGGTGGCACATGCCTGTAGTCCCAGCTGCTCGGGAGGCTGAGGCAGGATCGCCTGAGCCCAGGAGTTTGAGGTTGCTGTGAGCTAGGCTGATGCCATGGCACTCACTCTAGCCTGGGCTACAAAGCAAGACTCCATCTCAAAAAAACCCCACTAACAGTATAAATAAGAAGCTGAAGTAACTGCCTTTATACACTGCATCCATTATTTTACGTGAAACATTCATTCTTAAGGCAGAAAAACCTCAATGACACGTAATGACTGGGTTCTTACATGCATGGGTCAAGCTGAGAGTAGACTAGAGTAGGCCGATTCCTTGCTAACGAGGATTTATCTGTGGGGACAACTTGGTTCTTAGAGTATGTTATGTAAGAGACACATACTTGAGAGAACATAAAAGGATGAATTTTAAGACAAAGAAATATTTTTTTTTTTTTTTTGAGACAGAGTCTCACTTTGTTGCCCAGGCTAGAGTGAGTGCCGTGGCATCAGTCTAGCTCACAGCAACCTCAAACTCCTGGGCTCAAGCAATCCTGCTGCCTCAGCCTCCCGAGTAGCTGGGACTACAGGCATGTGCCACCATGCCCGGCTAATTTTCTTTTTTTCTATATTAGTTGGCCAATTAATTTCTTTCTATTTATAGTAGAGACGGGGTCTCGCTCTTGCTCAGGCTGGTCTCGAACTCCTGACCTCGAGCAATCCGCCCGCCTCGGCCTCCCAGAGAGCTAGGATTACAGGCTTGAGCCACTGTGCCCGGCCAGAAATACGATTTTTTAACAAGATGTCAATAAGACTCAGCATTGTATGATGAGGGGAGACGACACCCATAACAAACGAACAGACTCAGACATACTCCTGATGTGGTACATAAAAAGTATGAAATATCAAAGAATTATCTTTTTGGGGTGTGTTACTTTAGACTTTGGTTTTCAAGGTCTAGTATAAACAGGTAGCCTGAACAGTTAAAAACAGGAGAATGGGCCGGGCGTGGTGGGTGGCTCACGCCTCTAATCCCAGCACTCTGGGAGGCCCAGGAGGAAGGATTGCTCAAGGTCAAGAGTTCAAAACCATCCTGAGCAAGAGCGAGACCCCGTCTCTACTGAAAATAGAAATTAATTGGCCAACTAAAAATACACAGAAAAAATTAGCCGGGCATGGTGGCGCATGCCTGTAGTCCCAGCTACTCGGGATGCTGAGGCAGCAGGATTGCTTGAGTTCAGGAGTTTGAGGTTGCTGTGAGCTAGGCTAACACCACAGCACTCTAGCCTGGGCAACAGAGACTCTGTCTCAAAAAAAAAAAAAAAAAAAAGGAGAATGGTAACTCGTACTGCTACTCAGAAGGCCTCCACTTAGGATATTCCTACACCACCAATGAAGCGCTGTGCAGGGAGGAATCAATGTGTATTATTAATAAAATAAAAATGAAGCCCTTTCCCCAAACATGTGCAAAAACACTTGGCAGTTACTAACAAGAATTTCTTTAACAAAAAACATCTTAATTGTAGAATGAGAGGCAGCAGCAAAGCCAGAAAGACATAATATACCACTCTGCCTAGAAGGACGGGTATTTGGGGTAAAATTAATTGTTTCATGGGCTCCTTGGGAGATGTGCTACTCAGAGTGGGAGGGAGCACAAAGACGAACTGGACGCGGCGTCCCCAGACACCGGGGATGTGCATCCTCCTTAACCTCGGGCCACGTGGTTCTCTGCATCCCAGCACCAACTGCATCCCAGTACCAACTGCATCCCAGCACCAACAACACTAGCAAAACAAACACAAATTTACAAGACAATTCTTTTTTTTTTTTTTGAGACAGAGTCTCACTTGTTGCCCAGGCTAGAGTGAGTGCCGTGGCGTCAGCCTAGCTCACAGCAACCTCAAACTCCTGGGCTCAAGCAATCCTCCTGCCTCAGCCTCCCAAGTAGCTGGGACTACAGGCATGCCCCACCATGCCCAGCTAATTTTATATATATATATTAGTTGGCCAATTAATTTCTTTCTATTTATAGTAGAGACGGGGTCTTGCTCTTGCTCAGGCTGGTTTCGAACTCCTGACCTCGAGCAATCCGCCCGCCTCAGCCTCCCAGAGTGCTAGGATTACAGGCGTGAGCCACCACGCCCGGCTTACAAGACAATTCTTAAGCAGGTAATGAAAAGTATAACCAAGTAAGACCTTTTTGTGTGCCTATTATTTATGCGTAGCTCCAGCCAGTGTACAAAGGTATCTCCCTAATTTTTGAAGACATGAAGTTTTCTTCTTTCACAGTGGCAGAAGTTCATGCAACATTTGTGAACAGCGATACAAAATATCGTAACATGACTTAGAGCTTGTATAAAAACAGAAGAAGTAAATCCAAATTTACAAGTGGGTAAAAAAAACAGAGGGCAGCTTCATACAAAGTTCTTCCTCCTGTGCCAAGTGATTTTTTTTTATTACAGATATAATCCTAAGCTAAAAAACTGAGACTTGGGGAGAGCCATCTTTACATACAAAATATCCAAAGGACACTTCCTCTGTACTTTTCTCTAGCAATGTTCAACTGCCAGAAACAGTTCTGAAAGTTGTGACTTGGGAGACATAACAGTTTGGTGTGGCCAGTCTGGAGCCTGCTGCAGCACTTGCCATGGAAGTGCACGTGGCGCACCCTTTGCTCCCTCCAGCTCGTATCCTGGAGCTCCTGGCTGACAGCAGAGCGAGGGTGCGGGAGTGAGCCCCTGCTTTGGAAGGCAGCGTGGTGGAAAGGGTTTGCAGGAGCCAGGAGCCACAGCAGGCAAGCCAGTTCGTCCAGCGAGGAATCTTTCCCACTCAGAATCTCTGATAAAGCCGAAGAAAACTGATTGCAGTTTTTACATATCAAAGATAACCTTTGTATTCTTTCCCCAGTTCTTCTATCATTGTTTCTATATCATCTTGTAGGAAGTCAGTGCTCCCTAAAACAGTAGCGTCTTTAAATTTAAATGTTACTCCTAGTTTAGTAGCATTGCCTGGGAATTTCAGATATTCCAGAAAAGGGATAAGGATGGCCAACATGAGTAAATTCTCTGCCATATACTCAACTCCTGAATGAAAAACTCCAGTTCCAACGGGTGAGGTGTATTTGTTCATCCAGTACACGCTATACGCGTTGAGCACCACTAACTGGTTGGCCCCACACCCTCTCCATGGCCGCCGCTCACCCTCAAGCAGCTCTGTCTTCGCGGCCGGATGCCGCCTTTACCCATGTGGGTGCTTCAGCGAGCCCGCGCCAGGCACTAGGCGTACAGCCTGGCCTGCAGCAGCCAAGGTGGAAGCACAGGGCAGCCCGGCAGCTCCAGGGCACCGCCCACAGAAGCCTCTGCGCAGGCCGGGCTGGAGTGGTGGCAGGCTCCCCCTAACTCCTTTACCTATACATGTACATATGTGATTATCATAATGGGCTCACCCAGCACAGGTGCAAGTCATAGGTGCTGGATTTGTTTTCCAGGGCAGTCATCTTTTTTCCTTGTTCTGTTCTCCCAGGTAACCCACACTCACAGCCTATTGAGTATCCTGCTACATGCATATAATCATAATCTCTAATATTCATAGAGTGCATATAATCTTTTTCTTAACATGAATGTGAAGACAGAAGACGTACCTTTATGTTCATGAATTACAAATGCATTTCTGTTCATATAGCAGTCAATATAGTACATATAATTCAAATATAAAATATATATTGGAAAATTTTTTTGGTTTATAAAAATGGGATACGTATATTTCTCAACACCATACTTTTCTCATTCAATAATACTTTATGGAAATCCCTCTAAGTCTAGTATACAGTAGCTCAAATTTATTCTGTTTTTAATGTCTGCATGATATACCATAGTGTACAATGTATGAATGTTTCATAATTCATTTAATTTTTCCCATACTGGTGGATAATCCATTTATTTCCAGGGTTTCTTGGACATTAAAAGTATATTTTAAATTTCAAGTGAGTGAGCCTTTGTACTTAAATGGGGTTCTTGCTGGTCCCTTCTTTGGTAAGGTACACTGTCAGGCATTGAGACTAGGGAAGTCCTGGTCAGGAAGCTGTGTGAAAGGCAGGTAACATGTGCACACAGTGAAATATTCAAGCATGACCAAAGGTTTACAGTGACAACTTCCTCCCATGCCTACCTCCACAGGCAGGCCTTGTTACCAGGCTGATGTGCCGCGGAGACATGCTCCATGCATATCTATGGAAGTATAACATGAATATGTATGTATATCTTTTCTTGTTATAACATAAATGGTATTATGTTTCACACACTGCCTTTTCCCTCTGTTTTTCTCCCAGATTACTTATTTTAAAAGAATGCTCTTGTGGGCTGGGTGCAATGGCTCACACCTATAATCTCAGCACTTTGGAAGGCTGAAGCAGGAGGATTGCTTGAACCCAGGCATTCGAGACCAGCCTGAGCAACACAGCAAGACCCAGTCTCTACAAAAAATTTAAAAAATTAGCTGAGTGTGGTGGTGTGTCTGTGTAGGCCCAGCTACTTGGGAGGCTGAGGCAGTAGGATTGATTAAGCCCAGGAGTTTGAAATGGCATTGAGCTTTGTGCCACTACATTCCAGCCTGGGTGACAGACTCTGTCTCTCTCTCTCTCTCAAAAAAAAGAATGCTCTTGCAAACAAGGGTGAGGAGGTGAGGGAAAGGCATGAAAAGACATCCAAAACACACTATGATCAAAGAACAAGTCCAAGGTAACTTATATAGTATCGTCCCATTTATATGCAAACAAACTATACTGTAAAGCAAAATACACTACCAACAAACATACAAGTGCAAGGCATTAAACAAAGGCTTGGAAGGATATGCAAGAGTAGCTTCCTCTTGAGGGGAGGAGTGGGGCTGACTGAGGTGAGGGCCGCTCTCATCACTTGCATCACCACATAAGCTCTGCTCCTGTCAGATCAGCAGTGGCATCAGATTCTCATAGGTGCGTGAACCCTACTGTAAACTGCGCATGCGTGGGATCTAGGTTGCACACTTCTTATGAGAACCTAATGCCTATGAGCAGGGAAATTCCACAGGTACTCCCTGTTCTTCTGCATAGCTTATTTCCTTAAACAATGAGAACAGTAATGTATTGACTTTGAAATTAAAAATAACTAAACAAAAACTAAAATCTCAAAGCAAAAACAAGAGAAGTGTTCTTTACCAGGATTTGGTTAAAAATGTGAAGAACAACATATAACACAGTACTTACTCCTTGCCACCATCAATATCCTGCACATCCTTAAGGTAGAGGGAAAAATCAATCACTCCAACCTGATCAAAATAAAATGTACAAGTTTAAATTAAAAAATGACATTTTTTTATATTTCACAAACCTTACAACTTTTGAAATTCAGGGTATTTACATTCTTATCTCTTTCCTATGGACATTTAGTTAGGCTAACCAGCTCTATAAAGTGGCAATAAATTGAACAAACCAAAAGAAAAATAGCCCTACAACCTTCTAGAAGAAAATATTACAAGATGTCAGATTTAAGAGAATATTCTGAAATTTCATCCCCTAGTTAAGATTAGTTTTGCGTATTTAATCAATAATAACATTGTTTATAAAGATCAACAAAGTTCTTTGGGTACAAAGTAGTTTAAGAAAAGGAGAGGGAGAGAGAGATCTCTCTCTGGATCTCTAGACTAAAGTGGTGACCTTAACTGACACTGAGCTTTCTTCCCTTAAATTTTGGTAAAATAGTCTAGTTAGTATTTCAGGAAAATTCTCTACCCCTGCTGGGAATGGGGAGGATCAAGACCCCTTACACATCTAAACATCAAAGGCATTGCTAAGGAATAAAGCAGTTGAGAGTGAGTAAGTGGAGCCATTCCTAGAGCCGTCATCGAACTGTAGTCCCCAATCCCCAGAGACCCATCTGTGGCCTTGGCCACACAGCAGGAGATGAGCTGTGGGCAAGCTGAAGCTTCATCTGTATTTACAGCCGCTCTCATCACTTGCATCACCACATAAGCTCTGCTCCTGTCAGATCAGCAGTGGCATCAGATTCTCATAGGTGCGTGAACCCTACTGCAAACTGCGCATGCGTGGGATCTAGGGTGCACACTTCTTATGAGAACCTAATGCCTGATGATCTGAGGTGGAGCTCAGGCAGTGATGCTAGTGCTGGGGAGCGCCTGCAAATACAGATTATCATTAGCAGAGATAAATAAATATAAACAAATAAAATAATAAACAATAAATATAATGTGCTCGAATCATCCCCAAACCACCTTCCATCCCTGTCTGTGGAAAAATTATCTTCCCTGAAACCAGTCCCTGGTGCCAGAAAGGTTAGAGACCACTGTCATAGAATCTACATGACCATAACAAAGAACGCAATTGATGGATGTGTAATAATATAAAAAAGCTCCAGGATACAATTTTAAGTCAAAGAATAATATGTACTGCATTAACCCCATTATAGTAATCGCATTTGAAGCTTAATGACACTTTAGGCCTGATGATTAAAAAAAGAAAAAAGAAAAAAAAAGCCCAAAGCTATGTGTGATGGTTTTAAGACATATCTCCAACTTCTCTGATACACCTCCTACCACAGGGAATCTATATTCCTAACCCTTGAACCTGGGAGGCCTTAGTGTCTGTCTTGATGAGTAAAATGCAGTACAGATGATGCTGTGTGACTTCTACAGCTAGGTTTAAAGAGGCAATACAGCTTCCACCTGGCTCTATCTCTTGAGGCACATATCTTTAAAGTTCTGAGCTTCCATGTAAGAAGTCTTGGCTACCCTGAAGCCATGCTGGTGGGGAGCATATGAAAACCACATGTAAAAAGAGATGCCCTAAAGGTCCCTGCTGTTCCAGTCCCCAGCTCTTTCGGTCTTCTCAGACCAGAAGACAGACATGGGAGAGATGGGAGGTGATTCCAACCCCTGCCACCATCTGACTGTGATCACATGAGCTCTTGAGCAAGAACCACCTAGCTAAACCCAGTCAACGCCAACTGTGAGAGATACCATGACTGTTATAGCTTGACTGTTGTTGACTTGTTATACAATAATAGAAAACCAGAAAAGGTTTAATTTAAAACAAAACCTATGTATACATAAATGCATAGAAAAACAGAAAAGCTTCTAGAAAGATTTTCCCCCAAATTGTTACGATTACCTGTGGGGAACAGGGAGGAACTCAGGGGGGATGGGAGAAAGGGAGGTTAAATTTCTCTTTGAACATTATAGACTTCTATAACGCCCAATTTTCCCCAACCAGCATGCATTTCTTTTGTAATAAAAAAGTAAGTCATAAAAAACATATTCAACTGGAAAAAACCAACCCCTAAGAAATCAGAAAAAAAATTTTATAACAAAAAATTCTAATAAAGGGTTAATATCCTTAGTCTATAACAAAGAAGTGGAAAAAGACAGAAAACTAAGAAGGATATGAAAAGATAGTCACAAATGCTGAACCACCAATGGCAAATAAAACATGAAAAAATATTTATAAATTTGAAACGATGAGTAGTTTCATCAGACTGAAAAAGACCAAGAGTGCTCATCATATACCGAGTCAGCAAGAGGAAATGGGTTCTCTCACATGTTGCCAGTGGAGTGTGCAATGGAAGACTTTTCTGGAGGTCAATTTTACAGGATCTATCAAAATGTATAATGTGTATACTTGTACACAAATCTAAAATTTATCTTAAGGAAATAAATGGACAATGAAAAAGCTCTAAAGATGTTAATAATATTGTTGTTACAATATGGAAACAACCTAAATTAATAAGGTATTGGTTAAATTATAGTAATTAAAAAATGGAATACTGGCCAGACTCAGAGGCTCACACCTGTAATCCCAGCACTTTGGGAGGCCAAGGAAGGAGGATTGCTTGAGGCCTGGAGTTTGAGACCAGCCTGGGCAACACCGTGAGACCCCTGTCTCTACAAAAAATTAGAAAATTAGCTGAGCATGGTGGTGAACACCTGTAGTCTAGGCTACTCAGGAGGCTGAGGTAGGAGGATCACTTGAGCCCAGAAGTTCAAGGCTGCAGTGAGCTATGATTGCACCACTGCACTCCAGCCTGGGAGACTCTCAAAAAAAAAAAAAAAAAGAATACAGGCCAGCGGTGGCCTGTAATCCTAGCACTCTGGGAGGCCCACGTGGGTGTAACACTTGAGGTCAGGAATTCGGGATCAGCCTGAACAAGAGTGAGACCCCATCTCTACTATAAATAGAAAAATTAGCTGGGCGTGGTGGCGCATGCCTGTAGTCCCAGCTACTTGGGAGGCTGAGGCAGCAGGACTGCTTGAGCCCAAGTGTTTGAGGTTGCTGTGAGCTATAATGACACCACTGCACTCTAGACCAGGCAACGTAGCAAGACCCTGTTTCCAAAAAAAAAAAAAGAGAGAGAGAATACCATTTACAATGGTTTTACATCTCTATTGTCATTGAGAGCTGTGTGGAAAATTTTGTTAAAGTTTTAAAAATTACAAAATGGAGTACTAAGAAGAATCAGTTTGGCTAAGTAAACAAAGAAAATGCCAAAACATCTCACTCTAAAATACACAAATACACACACGCACACCTTTGTTCACGTGCTGGAAGGATATATACCAAAATGTAACACTGAGTTACTGTCCTGATGTAACAGGAGTATGTGTGATGTTTAGTTTCTTTTCTTTTTTTTGAAACAGAGTCTTACTCTGTCACCCTGGGTAGAGTGAGTGCAGTGGCAGTGGTGTCATTGTAGCTCACTGTAAGCTCAAACTCCTGGGCTCAAGCGATCCTCCTGCCTCACCTCCTGAGTAGATGGGGACTACAGGTGCGTGCCATGATGTCCAGCTAGTTTTTCTATTTTTAGCAGAGCCGGGGTCTTGCTCTCGCTCAGGCTAGTCTTGAACTCTTTTTTTTTATTTTTTGAGACAGAGTCTCGCTTTGTTGTCCAGGCTAGAGTGAGTGCCGTGGCGTCAGCCTAGCTCACAGCAACCTCAAACGCCTGGGCTCAAGCAATCCTGCTGCCTCAGCCTCCCGAGTAGCTGGGACTACAGGCATGCGCCACCATGCCCGGCTAATTTTCTATATATATGTTAGTTGGCCAATTAATTTCTTTCTATTTATAGCAGAGACAGGGTCTCTCTCTTGCTCAGGATGGTTTCGAACTCCTGACCTCGAGTAATCTGCCTGCCTCGGCCTCCCAGAGAGCTAGGATTACAGGCGTGAGCCACCGCCCCTGGCTAGTCTTGAACTCTTGGGTGCAAGCAATCCTCCTCTCTCAGCCTCCCAGAGTACTAGGATTACAGGTGTGAGCCACCATACCTGGCCGATGTTCAGTTTCTTTTCAAACATACTTCTCGTAATTTTTTGGAAAAAGTTTCAACATGTGAAAAAACAAACTATTTTTTTTAAAAAGGAGAGGTTACCAAAAAAGTTACCTGGGTGTGGAGGGATGAGGGAAACTTTGACTTTTTCAGGTCCAAATGAGTGGCAGGAAGAAACCTGGGTACTAAGCCGGGCATGGTGGCACATGCCTATAGTCCCAGCTACTCGGGAGGCTGAGGCAGCAGGATTGCTTGAGCCCAGGAGTTTGAGGTTGCTGTGAGCTAGGCTGACGCCACGGCACTCACTCTAGCCTGGGCAACAAAGCGAGACTCTGTCTCAAAAAAAAAAAAAAAAAAAAAAACCTGGGTACTTGCCCAGCCACAGCTACAAGAGGGTGCAGGTGGAAGATGGGTCAGGGTGCCTGCTCCCCTGCAGACGTTTGCAGTCTCTGCCACTGGGAGCTCAGGCCTCAGCCCTGGCCACCAGTTCCCATGCAGGAAGAAAGCACATCCCGAGGGGCTGTGCCTCCCCCCAGAGGGAGCTCCACACCTTACCACTTACTTTCCTTTGTGCCCATTTTATGAACTTGACTTCACAAATCTCTCCTGACTCTATCTTACCACTTTCCATCCAACCTTTTGGAACTTCTAGATTAGTCTTCTCAATGTTTTTGCTGTCTCTATTCTTGGCTACTTCTAATTCATGACCTGAATGGCTACTAGATTGATCTTTCTCAAACCCAGGCCTGATCATTTCAGTGTACAGCTTAAAAACTTCCAGCAACTTTCCAAAGCTCAAGGGATACAAGCTAACCCCTTTAGCATGGCACTGATGGCCTAAAAACTGGGCCCAGCCTCCACCTTCACTGTGTCCACTGAGCATCCTAAGTCCCAGCCACAGAGAACTGCCTGCTGGTTACCAAACAAGCCGAGCTTTCTGTGTGTGCCTCTGCCATGCCACTCTTCACCCTTTCCTGAGACCTTCTCCAGCTGCTCCCTCCCCCTCAGCACAGTACCTCACCCAGTCCCCTACCAGGGGGCTCTTTGCCAGCTGCCCCTTTTTTGGTGTAGCACACGGCTGCAGATGCTATGTAACATCCCTGGCCTATTGAAGATATTCTATCTAGAGCCAAAATTCCATTTTACCTGAGAATCCAAGTCCTCTCCTTTTAAGCAGAGATTGGCATCAAGAACATTGAGTCCCACGAGCAGGCCGACAATCACCATCCCTTCTTCCTCCATCATTAATGCCTCAGGCTCATAGAACTCACTGCAAGAGATGGAGAAGACAGGGACAAGGCTGAGAAACACCTTTACTCCTCCTTCACCCCATCCCGCCCTGCCCCGCCTTTTCCACTTTGCCCCCTTCTATTTCCTACCGTCACTTCCAGTGCTGTTCCCTCTGTGTCCTCTCCCCTCTTCCTACAGTAGAACGGGCTCTTCCTTCCTCCTGTCTAAGGTTAACTCCTCCGTTTAGACCCAGGACACCAGCCCTTTTCATCTCCTCTCCGCCACTGCATTCCTGACATCACCCTGCCCCTCCTATGTCTCCAGGGGCTCCTCTTCCAAGGTGATATGAACTACTTCTACACAGTAACGGGATTCCAAAGATTCCTCATGTCCAAGAATAAAACTCTTCCCTCTTCCTGTGTCCTACAAAGCAACTTGCTGCCTTTATGTCCTTACCTGCCAGTCATCTTGGCCATTTGCTGTGAGGCTCCATCCCCATGTCTATTACTGCTTTGCTCACCAATGATTTACTAGGTTACCACATCCAGTGGCACCCAGGCCACTGTGTGTGTGCATGTGTGTGTATGTGTTCATGAGAACTTACTGTCTTAAGAATCAGTTCATTAGCAAAGTGACAGATATGGCAATTACCTGGATTTGGTCATTACACAATGTATACATGCATTGAAACCACACTGTACCCCATAAATATGTATAATTATGTGTCAATTATAAATTAAAAAATTAACTGATAAAACGAACTGGTTCATTAAAACAAAATCAGCAACTCAAAGTTATTCAGTGTAACTGTACTCAGAGTACAAAGTATATGAAATATTCTAAATCAGCATTTATCATGTAAAGATATTTTTAATAATAAGCCATGACTTGAAAACACTGAAAAACTTGGGTTTTAGGCCATGCTATTAAAGTTACTTTATCTCAATTAGACAAGACATTTAACTCTAGAGAGATTTTTCCCTTCTGTTAATAAATTATCAGACTTGAAAAGGTTCTTTTACAAAGACTGTTTAGTCATATAGTTATAAATATAAAAAATGAACCAGTCATAAATTTTTCTGAACATTATATACTCTCATTTTAACTAAAAATGGTCTATGGAGCTATGTTCTAATTATTTACAAAGCAAAAGATAAAAAAAGAGGTGACATAATACCTTAAGAGATGTTTATTGTCTATGAGCACTTTCAGATAATCTGCCAGCTTCTTTTGCATGAGTGCAAGATAAAGCCAAGCTCTGCCTCTTCCTACAGCTGTCCTAGAATTCAGAGAGTCAAACTGTTGTGGTATAACAACAACAAACACAGAATAAACCCTCAATTTAGCCAGAGAGATATACATGTTCATACATATTCATGCTTATGAATGCAGAGAATACTCTAAGAATAGCTGCTTTGGGGTGCGGGAAGAAATGTACACTGTCTGGGCAGGCAGAGAGAATGGCTCGCTGCACACCTTTGGCCACTATCTGAATTTTGTGCCAGGGCATGTATTTTTTTTTTTTAATACAAAAGGAAAAAATTTTAAGCCACAAAAATCTGATTTCTGGAACAAATACCATTAGATAATGCTTTGCATATATTTATAAAATTTCACGGAGATTCAGGAAATAACAGGTTAGATTTGTATAATGGATAAACATTCTTTCTTTTTTCAGACAGAGTCTTACCTGTTGCCCGGGCTAGAGTGAGTGCCGTGGCGTCAGCCTAGCTCACAGCAACCTCAAACTCCTGGGCTCAAGCGATCCTTCTATTGCAGCCTCCCAGGTAGCTGGGACTACAGGCATGCGCCACCACACCTGGCTAATTTTTCTATTTTTTAGTAGAGACGGGGGTCTTGCTCTTGCTCAACCTCAAACTCCTGAGCTCAAATGATCCGCCCCTCCCAGCCTCCAGAGTGCTGGGACTACAGGTGTGAGCCACCGCGTCCGGCCTGCAACCATTTGTAAGCATATAATTCAGTAGTGTTAAGTACATTCACACTGCTGTGCAACCGATCTCAAAGGTACAACTGTGAAAAGGCCTACATTAAACACTAAGAGAAAGGAAAGAGCGGGGTTCAATGACACATGCCTGTGGTCCCAGCTGTCAGGAGGCTAAGGCAGGAGAATCACTTGAGCCCAGGTGTGCAAGGCTGTAGTGTGACTGCACCTGTGAGCAGCCACTGGCACTCCAGCCTGGGCAATATAGTGAGATCCCATCTCTAAAAAAACAAAGAAAGAAAAAGAAAAAAGGGACTCCCAATTATAGACTTAGAACTGTTGAAGGAAGAAAAAGAATCTGTTTTAAGAGAGTAGCTGCATTTGTAACATCCGAAAGTAGTAAAGGTAAGGCTGTAACCAATAACCTGCATAAAAGGAGCTCTCAGAGCCAAAGACCATGCCACAGGGTCAGAATGCAGCCTCGGTGATTTCAGAAGCCAGGCTCAGAAGGGCTACTCTAATTTCATCAATAAAAAAGCCTTTGGAGCCGGGTGTGGTGGCTCACGCCTGTAATCCTAGCTCTCTGGGAGGCTGAGGCGGGCGGATTGCTCGAGGTCAGGAGTTCGAAACCAGCCTGAACAAGAGCGAGACCCCGTCTCTACTATAAACAGAAAGAAATTAATTGGCCAACTAATATATATAATATAAAAATCAGCCGGGCATGGTGGCTCGTGCCTGTAGTCCCAGCTACTTGGGAGGCTGAGGCAGGAGGATCGCTTGAGCCCAGGAATTTGAGGTTGCTGTGAGCTAGGCTGACACCAGAGCACTCTAGCTTGGGCAACAGAGTGAGACTCTGCCTCAAAAAAAAAGAAAAAAAGATGCTATAGATGAATATTTGATACTCTAATATTAAATGTAAAACACACTACACAACTGTATATACAGTTTAAAACTAAATTTTTTTGGAATAGCAATAATACCTATACTTAGTTTACAAACCAGAAAGTATTAAAAGGTATACAGTTGCAGTTCTCTCTGACCTATCCTCCACCTTCCCATTCCCCCTTTCCCACATGTTAATACAATGGTCTTGGTTTAGGTTCACTTCCAAAACATTTTTATGCATCTGAAAACAAGTACAAATTCTTTTCTCTACTTTACAAAAAAAGTCAACATGCTTTACATACTGTTCTCAACTGGCTTATTTCACTTAACATCATCTTGAAAATTTTCCATATCGGTACACTAAGGACTGAGTGCATTTTTTCATAGATTTAGTGTTTCATTATTGGACTACACTGTAATTTATCTAGCTGGTTTTCTTTTTTAAATCTAGGCTGGCTCTAATGTTCTGCTGTTGCAAATAATGCTGCAATAGATAATTCTGCACAGGTCACCTTCATGTGTGACGTCTGTAAGAGAGAACACCTGTAAGTGGCATTGCTGGGTCAAAGGGCAAACGCATTTGTAATTTTGGTGAATAGTGTGAAGTTGTCCTCTATGAGAATGAGTGCAATACAGTGCCATGGTGTGTGTGTGTCGGGGGTTAGGGGGGTAAAATAAAAATAGAATCTTATTTGTCTGACTATGCACTGGAAGAATCTGGAAGGATACTGACAAAGATTTTTGTCTTTTTTAAAGACAGGATCTTGCTAGATTGTCCAGGCTGCTCTTGAACTCCTGGCTTCAAGTGATACTCCTGCCGTGGCCTCCCCAAAGTGCTGAGAACCACTGTGCCTGGCAGATATCAGTAGTAGTGATTTTCTGGGTAGTCAAATAATAGAAGTTTGACAATTCCATTGTAAAAAAATTACATTTTTTGGCTTGCTTTTATTTCCTAATTATTTATTCAGAAAAGGTATGGGAAATTGTACCATATAAAGAACAGGTCTGGGCATGGGGACTCACGCCTGTAATCCAATCCTGAGAAGAATAAACAGGGCTTGGCAGCAGTGGAGTTTTGTGGGATCCAGAGTCAAAAGGACCTGTGTTCTCTTCTGGGCTCCACCACTCCCTTGCCAAGGTCCTTGGACAAATTACTTAAACACTCTAAGTCTCAATTTCCACTCTTGTAAATAAGGACCAACAGCTATCCTGGAGGGCTGTTGTGGAGGATTAAATGAAATGAAAAGAAATGTCCTCAGCATATGCCTGGTATAGGGCAAGCCCCTGTACGAGACTCTGCAAGAGGGTTCTTTTATATTGGCTTAAGGATCCATAAGGCCCCTTCTAAATGCCAAATTCCATGATGCCTTATTGGTGTTCTGCAGACTTTGAACCTATGCATAGAGGTCCCAAGAGCAAATCCAGACATGGCAAATAATTAGTCACAGCCTATTCACAAATGCCCCTTGTCATGGAGACTAAAATCTGGCCCAAAATGTATTATTCATTCAGAAAACTGCCCATATGTATCTGAAGCAGTTGATTCCAGTAGTGTAATCATAACTCCTTTTCCCTCTGTGAGTGCTCTTTGGTTGACAACACCTTTTCAATCTATTTAACCTGTGTGGCAAGCAGGAGTCACTGTTCCCATTTCAAAGAAAAGGAAACTGAGGTCTAGGGGGCAAATCTTGCTCAAGATCATGTGCATAACAAACAGCAGAGCTGGGACTAAAGTCTGAGTATGGTTTATGCTACAGTTTTTTCCAAATTAAAAAAGTTTGATCAGCAAAGAATTGAGAAATGGGTAAACGATAGAGAGTTTTCAAAAAAATCAAATAGATGTAACTACTTCTCACTCACCTTAATTCTGGCAGATTTCTGACACTAGTAGCTATATCTGATGCTTCTGGACAAAGCTTCTCCACCAGCTCCAAAGGACCAAAGAAAGATTTATTTTGGCCAATAAAACTCTTCTTAACTAAAAGAGGAAACAGAAGTGTTACTCATAAGAACAGGTTGCAAAACTTCTTCAGGGTCCCAGTCTTTCTCCCAAAAGCCAAATGAAAGCTGCAGAGCTCCAGTACTTAATTCTTTTGATTTAGCCTTGGAGACTGGGAGAGGCTAAGTAACACATTAGCTCTCCCTCCCTCTGACAATAGAGTTTCTCTGATATACCTACTATGCTCTTTCTTCAAGTAGTTACTGCCCATCCAATAAAATAGGTGCCTCATATGATCATCTGGGAAATTCTTCCCTTTCCTTTCTCCTGATGGCAAGATCAATGCTTGATTTTTTGCAAATCATCACTATCATTTGTCACCTGAACTGCTGTAATAACCCACTGATCCTAGTATTGTTACTTCCCTGCCCTTTGCAATCTGCTCTACACATAGCTAGAAGTTCTTTTAAAAATGCAAGATGGGTCACATTTCTCTTTTATTTAAAATCCTGCAAATACACTTAAAATAAAATCCAACTCCTCACCATGACCTTTAAGGGCCTACATAAGCCTACTCCCATGACCTCATCTCTTCCCATTTTCTCTCTCAGCACACCTCAGTTACCTGGTCTTCCTCAAGCCAAGGCTGGTCTCACTCAGGACCTCCGCCCTTTGCATCTGCTTGTTTTTAAGCTAAATGTTCTTGCCCCAAATTTCTGCATAGCTGGCTTCTTCTTCTCCTTTGGGTCTTGGCTCACATTTCACCTTCTCATTAAGATCTTCCCCTCCCACCCTGGCTGAAAGTTTCCTTCTTTGATTCTTTGTCATTTAACTCATTTTGCTTCCTTGAATTCGCAGTATTTTGTAATTATGTTTCTGCCTTTATTGTCCGTCTGCTTTGTCCTCTAGAACTGCATTGTCCAAGGCAGTCACTAGCCACATGTGCTATTGAGCACTTGAAATGTGGCTAGTGCAACTCAGGAACCGAATTGAGATGTGCTGTAAGTGTAAAACACACAGTGGATTCTTAAGTCTTAGATGAAAAAGAATGTAAAATATCTGATTAATAAGGCTTTTAAATATAGATTATGTATCAAATGATTATATTTTGGATACATTGGGTTCAATAAAATATATTTAAATTAATCTTTAAGTTTTAAAGTAAATTAGTGTTTTAACTAATTAGTAAATTAAAGTAAATTAGTGTTTAAATTGTTTTTTTTTTTAACGTGGCTACTAAAAATTAAAAATTGCCTATGTATCTTTCGCGACATTTCTTTAGGACTGCACTGCTCTAGAATGTCGCTTCTTGACGGCAGGGACCGGTCTGTTCTGTACACTGCTGTTACCCCAGCACCCAGAACAAATTTTGGCACTGATGAATAAATGCTGAGCCAACACCTAGCCCAAACTTCACTCTCCCGAACGTCCCCTCAGGCTCACCTTTCAGCCCATGTTTGAGGCAGTGCTCCATCACTACAAAGAACTGCTGCAAGGGGGCATGGTCTGCATCCAGGCTGCGGCCCAGGCTCAGGGCCGACTGGAGCAAGACCTTGATGCTGAGTTTCATCATGTGCATCAGGTTGGTACGCTCCTCCATCATCTGGCACTTGGAAGCTGTGGGGCAAAAGTAGGGACAGCTTCGTTAGTGGACTGAGTGTGGTCCGGGGCGGAGAGGTCGGACGTCGGGCGATGGCAGGAAGACGGGCCAGGCAGGGGACCAAACGGAGGGGTCTGTTCAGGGCGCGGACGTGCTGGCGGGCGAACAGCTGGGACTCGCAGTCCACCGGTCCTTGATGCCTGGAGGCCGCAGTCCCGCCTGGATGGCTTGGTCCTTGGGGCAGAAGAGAAGCCCTCGACTTCCTACTCAAGGCCTCTCCCAGGCCGCTCCGCGCGTTGCTACGGCGACGGCTCTACCAAGACTCACCACGATTGGCCTCTCCCACAACCCTATTCCACTTTCAACCAATGGAAGGGCGCAAATATCAGGAAGCACTGCTCCAAGCTGGAAGGCGTGCCGGGAGAGCGTTCCTCCCCCCAGGATTCCGATTGGACAAGTACAGCTCGCGGCCACGCCCACGGAGGTCGAGGTCGTGGACGCCATTTCGCGTTCTCTGCCCGAGGCAGGGCGGGAGCTCTCCTGCTGGGCCTGGGCATTTGTTTTGTCTCGCGCTGGCAGCCGAGGGCCAGCGGGAAGGCATCTGCCCCTCGGCTCCAGACTTTCATTCTTGTTGTTGCCAGCCTTTCGTCCACGGATAGTGGGCAATTCCAATTTTTACACGCTTTGTCTGTAGGTAAAACCGACAACCGAATGAGCTCAGCTACAGCTCCATTAATCTTGTTGCTATGTATTGAGAGTGAAAAAGTCTTGTCTGTAGTCCTTATTGGATATCTGTGACAAGTTCCTGGCAAGAGTTCTCTCAAACCCAGTAAGCTGGCATCCTAGAAATTTAAAAAAGAATTTATACCCCAAACTCGGTCTGGCAGGAAAACTACCGCCCCTGGGGAGCCGGGCTTTCCTGGGCTGCGCCCCCTTTCTGCCCGCCTCGGTTCGGTCTTTCAAAGATCTGCGGCCCCACTGGGGCGGAAGGCCATATTGTTTCAGTTTGCAGCTCTCTCCTACTATTTCTTCTGCGAACTGCCTGCTCCATCTTTTAACTTTTGTATTGAATTGCTTGCCTTTGTCTTACTGATCTGTATATTCTGGATATTAATCCTTTTTTTTATTTCATGGGCATCAGTATGGATATATAAGTTCAAAGAGCTTATGTATGGCCCGCTGCGGTGGCTCACGCCTGCGCCTGTAATCCTAGCACTCTGGGAGGCCGGCAGGCGGATTGCTCCAGGTTAGGAGTTCAAAACCAGCCTGAGCAAGAGCAAGACCCCGTCTACACTATAAATAGAAATTAATTGGCCAACTAATATATATAGAAAAAATTAGCCGGGCATGGTGGTGCATGCCTGTAGTCCCAGAGGGAGGCTGAGGCAGAAGGATCACTTGACCCCAGGAGTTTGAGGTTGCTGTGAGCTAGGCTGACACCAGGGCACTCACTCTAGCCTGGGCAACAAAGGGAGACTCTGTCTCAAAAAAAAAAAAAAAAAAAAGGAGCTTATGTATACATATATACACAGTTTTCTAAAACTATAGTTAAGGCCAGGTGTGGTGGCTCACGCCTGTAATCCTAGCACTCTGGGAGGCCGAGGCGGGCGATTGCTCGAGGTCAGGAGTTCGAAGCCAGCCTGAGCAAGAGCGAGACCCCATCTCTACTATAAAATAGAAGGAAATTAATTGGCCAACTAATATATATACAAAAAATTAGCCGGGCATGGTGGCGAATGCCTGTAGTCCCAGCTACTTGGGAGGCTGAGGCAAGAGGATTGCTTGAGCCAGGAGTTTGAGGTTGCTGTGAGCTAGGCTGACGCCACGGCACTCACTCTAGCCTGGGCAACAAAGCGAGACTCTGTCTCAAAAAAAAAACAAACAAAAAAAAAACTATAGTTAAATCTGAAAGAACAATAATATTATGAATAAATTTGTAATAAAGGTCTTAAGTAAATATTGAGACATCCTGGAACTAAAAATTCTAAATTCAGCAAAATCCAAGAAAAGAAAAAACGGTCTAAGCCCAACTCTGTAAAATAATTTAAAGAGGTTTATTCTGAGCCAAATTTGACGGCCATGACCTGGAGCCACACCCAAGAAGCCTTGAACAAGTGGACTTGCTGTGGGTTGGTTACAGTTTGGTTTTATACATTTCAAGGAGGCAGAGATTACAGGTGAAGTCATAAATCAATAAATGGAAGGCATACATTGGTTTGGCCCAAAAGGTGGGCCTTCTTGAAGCCAAGGCTTACAGGTTACAGGTAGGTTTAAAGATATTTGACTTGTAATTGGTTAACCACTTCGGTACCAGTGTCGACTGTAGCCCCGCGTCAACTGTAGTCGACAGCCACAGATGAACGCACACAGTTACTAGCTGACAGCCGTGATATGAATGAAGGTGCACAGCTGAGAGTCAACTTTAGCTGACAGCCGTGATATGACTTTTCTAATTTTTCATTTATCAAAATAAAATTGTGAATATTAAAAAATAACATAATGAAAACATATATGCATATGTTTCCTATTCTGATTTACATTACAAGTAAAGCTGCCTATAAAGTAAAACAAGCTTTCAGTGCTTTAAAGCTTTCCTCATCACACAAGACCAAAACGGATCTGTCATCAATGCACAGCACAGACTATTGTGTGGACTGTGAGTGCCAGCTGGGGGCAAGGTTTTGCTGCTGGTGAGTGCTGTACTGAAGTGGTGAGGCATGTTTGACCTCTCTCCTCATGGCAGACAATTTAGTTTTAGGATATCCCTTTGGCCAGAAGGGGGTCCATTCAGTCAGCTGGTTGTGAGGAAGCCTTAAGATTTCATTTTATTTCATAGTATTTTGGTTGTGGAGAGGGAAAAGTAGGTTAAGAAAAGCATTTGGATGGGAGTGGTATAAATATCTTTAAATTTCAAGAGAATCCTATGTATTACCTTTATAAATATTAAAACTTTAATGAAATGGATGATTCACAAAGGAAATAAAAATTGTAAAACCTCACCAAGGGGGAGAAACCCTGAAGAGACAGACCAATAACCATTGAAACAATTTGTAAAGACTTATCCTTAAAGAAGTCACCATGCCCAGTTCTATAATTTAGTGGTTCTCAAATTGGAATAAATATACACTTCAGTCGTGACAAAGGCTAGGCATGTCCAGGTATTTTTTTTTTTTTTTGAGACAGAGTCTCGCTTGTTGACCAGGCTAGAGTGAGTGCCGTGGCGTCAGCCTAGCTCACAGCAACCTCAAACTCCTGGGCTCAAGCAATCCTTCTGCCTCAGCCTCCCGAGTAGCTGGGACTACAGGCATCGCGCACCATCCAGCTAATTTTCTATCTATATTAGTTGGCCAATTAATTTCTTTCTATTTATAGTAGAGACGGGATCTTGCTCTTGCTCAGGCTGGTTTCGAACTCCTGACCTCGAGCAATCCGCCTGCCTCAGCCTCCCAGAGTGCTAGGATTACAGGCGTGAGCCACCGCGCCCGGCTATGTCCAGATATTTTAAGGAACTCAATTTCCAGATCTTCAAGTCTCACAGGCACTGCTTCTCCTCCTGCTCTGCAGAAGGGCAGTTCACTCCTTACGCCTCTTGCAGTGACCAGGGCTGCAGAAAGTCCCCCACAAATGGAGGCAAAGTGATTAATCAAGTAATCTAATAAAAAACAGGAAGAGTTTCCAGTTTCTCGTTCCTTTATTTTACTTAGTTAAACCTGGTCTTGGGCCGGGCGCTGTGGCTCACGCCTGTAATCCTAGCTCTTGGGAGGCCGAGGCGGGCGGATTGCTCGAGGTCAGGAGTTCAAAACCAGCCTGAGCAAGAGCGAGACCCCGTCTCTACTATAAATAGAAAGAAATTAATTGGCCAACTGATATATATATAAAAAAATTAGCCGGGCATGGTGGCGCATGCCTGTAGTCCCAGCTACTCGGGAGGCTGAGGCAGAAGGATCACTCAAGCCCAGGAGATTGAGGTTGCTGTGAGCTAGGCTGACGCCACGGCACTCACTCTAGCCTGGACAACAAAGTGAGACTCTGTCTCAAAAAAAAACAAAAAAACAAAAAAACAAAAAAAAAACCTGGTCTTGGGGGAGAGGGGTTGTGTCTAGCCCTTTGCTAAGTAGAAAGTTAAACATCCCCCCACAAATATAAATATATGTAATTGTTTTCAGCCAGTTCCAATTTGCATTCCTAAGATGTGCCATTAACTTGATGGACATTGTCCATGAATCAAATGAGCCAAAACTGCCAGCTTTAGGTTTATGAAAATGGATTTGAAGTGCCTGCTAAAGTTGTCAAAAAATATTGTATTGGCAAAGGTGTAATAAAATAAGCACTATTTAGATGTCCCCAACCATTTTGAGTATTCTGTGTTAAGCAAGGTGACAAAGAGGAAGAATAAGAAATATAATTATCATTTGATAAGTCTTGGTAAAACTGTTTTTTGGTAACTTCCCAGAAGTTGAGAAATTTCTTTAATATGATTAGGTTGCAAGTCAGATGATGTTCAATTATTTGCTTTGAACAAAAATAAAAGAACACAAAAATAAATTAGATACCAGGCCAGGTGTGGTGGCTCACACCTGTAATCCTAGCACTCTGGGAGGCTGAGGCAGGGGGATTGCTCAAGGTCAGAAGTTCAAAAACCAGCCTGAGCAAGAGCGAGACCCCGTCTCTACTAAAGATAGAAAGAAATTAATTCGCCAACTAAAAATATATAGAAAAAATAAGCCGGGCATGGTGGCGCATGCCTGTAGTCCCAGCTACTTGGGAGGCTGAGGCAGTAGGATCTCGAGCCCAGGAGTTTGAGGTTGCTGTGAGCTACGCTGACTTCACGGCACTCACTCTAGCCTGGGCAACAAAGTGAGACTCTGTCTCAAAAAAAAACCACAAAAAAACAAAAAAACACATATAAATCTATTACATTAAGATAAGAATCTATACCAGCAGTGGAATGGAAATTCAAATTCAATTTTCAATATTAAATAACTAGCTATTTATTTTTAAGATGGATGGTAGTGATTATTAGTTCATTAAGGTCTTTACATACCATTTGATACACTTCAAAGAACCATGTAAAAGTTTTATTTTAAAATGTCAATATTTATACTAAACTGAATTCTTTTTGTTTCTTTTTGAGACAGAGTCTCTTGTATGGGCTAGAGTGCCGTGGTGTCAGCCTAGCTCACAGCAACCTCTAACTCCTGAGCTCAACTGATCCTCCTACCTCAGCTGCCCAAGTAGTTGGGACTACAGGAATGTGCCACCATGCCTGGCTAATTTTTTCTCTATATATTTTTTAGTTGTCCAATTAATTTCTTTCTATGTATAGTAGAGACAGGGTCTCGCTCTTACTCAGGCTGGTCTTGAACTCCTGATCTCAAGTGATCCTCCCACTTCAGCCTCCCAGAGTACTAGGATTATAGGTGTGAGCCACTGAACCCAGCCTGATTGATTCTTTATAAATTTGATTTTTGGTTTTGAGTAGCCCTTTGGTATCTTGGAAGATCTTATAATATAATATGGTGTTAACCTGTATTGATAGGAAGAAAAACATCTTAAACTTTCCTAATTTTCAAGAATTTTCACTTATCTCAATGGCTAACTTAAGTAGTTTGGCAATGCAAAGGGGAAAAAGTTATCATGCTTCAGTTTGGAAGGAGCTGCACCAGTTATACCTGGAAAATAAAATCTGCCATGGAAGAGAACAGAAAGGCATAATACATACCACTGACCTAATGACAAATATATCTACATAATTTTAAAATAAAGGGATGCCTTCTATGAGCATTCATGTGTAAGACATTGTACTTGGCACATTAATTCTAATACCATGGTTTTGTTACTTAAATCTTAGCAGGCATCACTCTAAAAAGCAGCATGCAGTCCTATGTGCGCATCCTCAGAAAGACACAATAAGTAGCACTGGGGACAGTTTCTGGGAAGGAGGACTTACTAGTTGTTGAATGTTCTTTTGTACGTTTTGATTTTTTAAAAATCATATTCATTTATTACTTTAAAAAAATCCCCCAAAACCAACAGGAGAACACAATCACTGTGGTACCAGACCCACGTGGGCTAACACTGTAAAACAAGTATTGGAAGCATTCGTCAACATTCCACAGCGTTTTCCTTTAACCTGTATCAGGGAAAAAATGTTATCTGGCAAGAGTGCTGTTCACATTGCATCTCTGCTCCTAAACTGCTCCCTCTGAAAACCATCACTGTCTTTACCGCTGTGTAGGCAGATTCATGGGAAAAGAGACAGATGAGCCGGCCCTGGCCCTGGCCGTAGTGGTGGCCATTGTTTTACTCCTACCCGGTTTTTCTGAAGCCTCTGCAGAGCTGCTGCCTGTGGCCCTTTTTTTCCCCACCTCCACTTCCTACTTGATGACTTCAAATCCTGGTGACCTTAGGGCCCAGCCATATAACTCATCTAGCAGTTCCCCAAATTTCGGCCCTTTGTAACCCATTTTTTTTTTGCCAGATTGAATGGCAGTTATTTATTCAGTATTTTCTTTAAATTGACTAATAAAAAAATCTATGTGTTATATATCCTGACATCTTACAGTTATTATTATTTTTTCAGAGATGGGGTCTCCCTCTGTTGCCCAGGCTGGAGTGCAATAGTGTGATCTTAGCCCACTGTAGCCTCAAATTCCTGGATGAAAGCAATCCTCCCACCTCAGCCTCCCCACTACAGGTGTGTGCCACCATGCTCAGCTAATTTTTAAAATTGTTTGTAGAGATAGGGTCTTGCTATATTGCCCAGGCTGGTCTCAAACTGCTGGCCTCACTCAAACCTTCTGCTTTGGCCTCCCAAAATGCTGGGATTATGGGTGTGAGCCACCATGCCCAGCCCTGAAATTCTTAATAATTTTATCTTTAAATTGTTTTTTTTTTTTTTGAGACAGAGTCTCATTCTGTTGCCCAGGCTAGAGTGCTGTGGCATCAGCCTAGCTCACAGCAACCTCAAACTCCTGGGCTCAAGCAATCCTGCCTCAGCCTCCCGAGTAGCTGGGACTACAGACATGCGCCACCATGCCTGGCTAATTTTTTCTGTGTATTTTTAATCTTTTCTATGTTTTTGTAAAGACAGGGTCTCGCTCTTGCTCAGGCTGGTTTCAAACTCCTGACCTTGGGTGATCCGCCCACCTCGGCCTCCCAGAGTGCTAGAATTACAGGTGTGAGCCACCACACCTGGCCTTGAATTTGTTTTGTAAGTGAAATTCTTTGGAAGAAGTGTGTGTGTGGGGGCTCAAGTGTGGGCCCACCTTCCACTGCCTCCCTGGGACAGATCTTCAGCTGCCCTGGGGCTTCTCCCTAACCGCCCTGATCCCCACTTTGCAACTACACCTGGTCCAGAAGGGGTCAGGTGACATTCTGAGGGGTTGTATCCCCAGAATGTCAGGGCAGGGTGGGTACCACAGCACATTAAGCAAGTGGGCAGGGGCCTCTCACCCACCCCATCCCTGCAGGGAAGTTGTAATCCATTATGGCAGTAGGGAGGGAAGGATGATTTCATTTTGCTCCAAGGCCTGAATTTTGCACTGAGCCTCCCAAATTACTTAGCTGGCCCCAGGTAATAGATACATTATCCCTGTTTTATAAAAAGGAAAGCTGGATTAAAAATTTAAGTAACTTCACCAAGTTACTTAGAAGTGGTAGAGCCAGGACTTGAACCAAAATAGTCTGCTTCTTGAGCCCATGCCCTTAAAATAAAGCTAGGTGCAGTGGCTCATGCCTGTACTCCTAGTACTTTGGGAGGCCAAGGTGGGAGAATTGCTTGAGGCCAGGAGTTTGAGACCAGCTTCAGCAAGAATGAAACCCTATTTCTACAAAAAATAGAAAAATTTAGCTGAGTGAGGTGGCTAACGCCTGTAATCCTAGCACTCTTGGGAAGTCAAGCCTGGAAGATTGCTTGAGCTCAGGAGTTAGAGACCAGCCTGAGCAAGAGCTAAAAATACAAAAATTAGCCTGGTGTTGTGGTACACGCCTGTAATCCCAGCTACTTGGGAGGCTGAGGCAGGAGGATCGCGTGAGCCCCCAGGCATCTGAGGTTGCTGTGAGCTAAGCTGACACCAGGGTACTCTAGCCCAGGTGACAGAGTGAGACTCTGTCTCAGAAACAAAAAAAAACCCCAAATAGAAAAATTGGCCCAGTGAAAATTTGATGAGGTGTTGAGCACCTGTAGTCCCAGCTATGCCTGCAGACTGAAGCAGAAGTATCACTTGAGCCTGTAAGTTTGAGGTTGCAGTGAGCTATGATGATGCCACTGCACTCTAGTCCAGGCAACAGAGCGAAGACTCTGACATACATACATACACACATAAATTTAAATAAGTAAATAACTCTCTCTCAAAAAAAAAGTCGAATTCAATTTTTAATGCTGATGCCATGGCACTAGACCAGGCTAGTGAGACTCTGTCTCAAAAAAACAAAAACAAAGTTGAGGAATTCAATTTTTAATTGAAGTTTAATTTTGCATTTCAACATCACACGTGGCTAGGGGCTACTGGATTGGATAGCATAGCTCTGAATGTCTGGCTTTAGAGGTCTAAGTCAAAAGTTTACTATCATAAACCATTCAATGTTTTCATTCTTTTCACTGGTATGCTGAACCTGCATTCTAGATTGCAGGGGCTCAAAAGGATTTTAAGAGATCACTGGGTGAGCAAAGAAACCCCGCCTCGGGCGGGAGCGGGAGCGCGCCGGGGAGCCCGCACTCCAACGTGCGGCCGGGCGTCGCGGGACCGGAAGGCAGGAGACCAGCACTGGTTTCGTCTTCAGTATTTCAAAAACTAGTACAGATTTCTTACACCTGAACGTGCGATTTCCTTCATCTAACGTGACTGGGTGGGCAGAGTGCCGCCATCCCGCCCGAGCCGAGGCCCTCACAGGGCAAGCGCCCCCGCGCGGCAGGCTTCCGACGCCGGCTCCCGCCGCGACCTGGGCGGGCCACACGCCTACCTGCGCGCGCCGCGCCGTCCCCGCCGCCGTCCCCGCCGCCCAGCACCGCGGCCGCGCGCAGCGCGCCCCCGCAGCTCGCCGACAGGTTCTCCGTGGCCTTTCGCGCCAGGGTCAGGATGGGTGCTGACCAGCCTTCGGCTGCCGCCCGCGGCCTCCCCACACTCCGCAGCTCGCCCGGCGTCGGCAGCTGGCTCCGGCCCACGATCTCGAACTCTTCTCCAGCCTCGGGCGCCCGCTCCGGCCCGCGCGCAGACGCCCGCCCCGCCGCGCAGCCGTCCTCAGGGGCGGCCATCTTGGCGGTCACGTGGCCGCCGCTCCCTGCGCGGGACTCCTCTCCTCTCCCTCGGCCGCCTTGCCGTCTTTCCCTTAAAAAAAGTTTCGAGGAAGTACAAGTTATGACATAAGATACACATCCCCAAGCAGCCCGGAGGACTTGTTTGCCTGAAAGTTCCTTCTGAACGTTCTTCCAGGACCCCTGTGCACCCTGCAGGGCACTTAACAGGCCCTCCCTGCGCCCCCCAACGGCCCCCAGCTCTGCCCTGTAAGGTCTCTCGGCTGCAGAGAAGAGAGAGAGAGTGGGGCCAAACCAGGTGGCTTTATTATGCACTCCTGGACAAGGTTCTGGGGTCCCAAGAGAATGGGGGCCCAGAAGTCGCCTCCGTTTGAAGGGGGTGCGGCCTTTTATACCGTTTGGGGTGGGCTAGGGACTTTTGGCGGGAAAAGCTGGGAAGACCTTTGGTGGTCACTGAGAAATAGGAGGGGCTGGAGGTATTTGTGGAATCCAGGAGCCAAAACTCTCTTATCATGGTGTGGTAGTTCTCAGCAGGGCAGTCATCCTTGGCAGATCCTTCCTGGGTGTGGTCTCATGAGCCTTTTCTTTTTTGATCTAGGGAAGGGAGGGGGGCCGGCCACCAGCCTAACACACCAGACCCCACCGGGCGCGCACCTTCTTTGTAACACTATTTCCTCTTTTTAGTTTTTATTTCATATTTTATATTTGCCACTTAGTTTTGTGCAGCACTCTTTATAACAAGCCCTAAAAGAGCAATCAAGGAAACTCTGGATAGGTGAGACAGGAAAGTAGGATTTTGTTTTTATTGACACAGTCTCACTCAGTTGCCCAGGCTAGAGTGCCATGGCGTCAGCCTAGCTCACAGCAACCTCAGACTCCTGGGTTCAAGTGATACTTCTGCCTCAGCCTCCCGAGTAGCTGGGACTACAGACATGTGCCACCATGCCCTGCTAATTTTTTCTGTATATTTTTAGTTGGCCAATTAATTTCTTTCCATTTTTAGTAGAGACGGGGTCTCGCCCTTGCTCAAGGTGGTGCTGAACTCCAATGATCCTCAACCTCCACCTCCCAGAATGCTAGGATTACAGGCATGAGCCACCATACCCAACTGGATATTTTTCTTTTTTAATGGAATGACTTATGACAGTTTGGCAGGAAAGAGTACAAAGTGGTGGCCTGGGAATCAGAAGATCTGGATTCTACTATTAATTAGTTAAGTGGAATAACAATAGAACTGACCTTATTATTAAATAAGATTTTGCAGTAAAGACCACATGGCAGATGTTAGCAATTGTGATTACTGGTATCCAACTATACAGCTTGGGTAAGTCACTATATACTTTAACAACCCAAAATAAGTGACTGAAGCAAAAGTCTCAATCAATGGAGGTTTATTAAGCCAAAGTTGAAGATGTGCTGGGAAAAACACAAACCACAGACAAATCCATGGTTGTTTTCCCAAAGGGGAATTTGGGAGCTTTGGTATTTAAAGGCTGATAGGGCATGCAGAAAGGGAAAAAAAAAATGCAGAGGTTGGGTGGGTAGTGAGACAAAATAGTTACATTTTTGTGAGACCCAGGAAAATCTACATTTTACATGAGATAAGGCCAGTGTTAGAAGAGAAAAAGGGAGTGAAAGAAGTAGCATCAATTATGTAGATGTCCCTGGGCAGGTGGAAGAATGTGTGATCCTCTCCTGTCTCTGTTCTGCACCTGGGAAGATAAACTTGTAATTCGTTATTAGCGTGGAATCTAACAGACTTTTGTTTTAGGAGGTAGACACAGCCTACAGTCCTAATACCCTTGCTTATACGAGGCCAGCAAGGAGTTTCCTTAATGAATGGTTTGTGGGGCCAGCTCTTCACAGGTGCCTGAGGCCCTTACCTTCCCTTTTACATAAAGATTTGCCAGAGTGGTCCTGAGATGATTACTTTCTTTTACAACTTGGACAATGTTCAGTCTGTTTCTTCACTTTGAAATGCAATTTTTTTTTTTATTTGTTTTGTTTTTTTTTTAGAGACAGGATCTTGTTCTGTCTTTTAGGCTAGAGTGCAGTGGTGTGCTGCCTTCAATTCCTGGACAAGCAGGGCAGGCAGACCTGATCAGATTAACCTCTCAGTTTCAATATGAAAATATTTCACACAAGAATGTGGATTTTAGCCTTCTCTTGAATCATTGAAAGATTTGGCAACTCAGAGTATTTTCCTTGATGGTAACAAATTGTTGGAGTGGGCAATGGCTACTCCTTTAGAAGCACAGCTGCTCCCTGGATCTCAGTTTTGGTCCAGCCTACTTCACTAGTTTTATGATCTACCTGGTCCCTGAAGGTCAGATGTTCTCAGTGGGGCAGTGCTACTTCCTAAGGGAGTGTTTCGGGAATTTGTGGGGTTGGTGTTTGAGTTGCCATAATGGTTGAGGGCATGCTACCAATCTTGCTGGGCTGGGGCAGAAAGGGATGAAGATAGGCTGGAATAACAAAGAATTGCCCCACATCCTTCATAACTTTGCAGTGGTCCTGGACATTTATGCAGGCAAAATGCTTGTTTATAATGATCAGATCCTGAAACTTAATTCCATTTTGCATAAAAACATAAACTCTATTTTGGGAACACTTAATATTGTATTTGGCAAGGTTATGCTTCTGTCACAAATAATCCCCAAATCTCAGTGGTTTAACATAAAAGTTTGTTTCTCATCATGCTACATATCAATGAAGACAGAGGGAGTACTCTGCTCAACTCATGGTCTCTCGTGACCCAGGCTATTGGAGGCTCCATCACTGGGAGCAGAGTTTTAATCAACATTAAATGCTCCAGCCCTCTGGGGACAAACTTCACTTATACACACTTCATTGGTGAAGTGTCACATGGCCATGTCTAACTTCTAGGGAGTTGGGGAGTTCAGTCCTATTAGAGTCTGGGAAAAGGAGAACTAGGAATATTGGTAAGCAGTATAACAACTACCACAAATGTACCCTGAATTTTCCCAGAATGCAGCTAAATTGATTTGTCCAGACTCTAAGCATTATTAGCCATTTCAGAAAATTACATTGCCCACAACAGTGCTGCTTTTGGTATTTGAGTTGTCAGAGCAATACCTAAATCAGTCAACATTTGTGCTATGGCAGTCATGGGGATTTTACATACAGGTGCAAATGTCTGCCTACGTCATTTCTTTCAGTGGTAAGTTGTGCCTTATTTACATATTGGAAGACAGGCATACCCTGTTTTATTGTGTTTCAGTTTATTGTGTCTTTTACCAATTGAAGGTTTGTGGCAAACCTGTATCCAGCAAGTCTCTTGGCACCAATTTTTCCAACAGAACATGCTTACTTTCTGTTTTTGTGTCACATTTTGGTAATTCTCATAATATTTCAAACTTTTTCATTATTATTATGTCTATCATAGTGATCTGTGATCAGTGATCTTTGATGTTACTAGTATAGTTGTTTTGGGGAGTCACAAACTGCACCCATATAAGGAGGTGAACTTAATAAATGTGTGCATTCTGATTGCTCCACCAACCAGCCATTCTTAACCATTTGGGTAGGTTCATCTGTGTGGATGTTCCCTGGTCCCCCGATTCCCAGTGTCAAGAATGACTACTGGTACTGAGTCAAGCTGGTGACAGAGTGATCACAGACACAGAGCAATTTCATACAAATAGTTTATTGCATAAAAGGAAGAATGAAAGTACAGAAAGAAGCTACACAAAGTGAAAATAGGTTCCAGAGAGAGTAGAATGGGTCAATCTCCAAGGGTGGAGAAAGATCCCTAAAATCTGATCACATGCTGCCTTTTATAAGCTCACTAGTTTGTCCCACCTTTCTCCTAGCAGGATTGGTTGCTGTTTTCTGCCTTTGGGGGTGATTGACAGGTTAGTATTGTACTAATATAACAGGTTGGCTATGTAACAGTTTCCCTTTCTGCGCTTGGGTATTCCCCAGAATTCTTCCCTTGGCCCCACCCATGTTATGCTAATTAGATGGTAATGAGCTCTAGGTTAGTTAAAGTTACTAGGAACTTTTTACTATGTATGTTCCCACCAGGGAACAGTTCCTAGCCGCAGTTTGGTTCCCGCTCTTGGCTTTTAGCCACCTCTTTGCCACCTGTTTACCCTCCATCAGACCTAACAATCTCTCTCCCTCTCCCTGGGGCTTTACACTCTGAGAAACAGCAATATTGAAATTAGACCAATTAATAACCCTATGATATCCTCTAAGTGTTTAAGTAAAAGGAAGACTTGGACATCTCTCACTTTAAATCAAAAGCTGGAAATGGGCCAGCGTGGTGGCTCACACCTGTAATCCTAGCACTCTGGGAGGCCGAGGCGGATGGATTGCTCAAGGTCGGGAGTTCGAAACCAGCCTGAGTGAGACCCCGTCTCTACTAAAAATAGAAAGAAATTAATTGACCAACTAAAAATATATATGGAAAAAATTAGCCGGGCATGGTGGCACATGCCTGTAGTTCCAGCTACTCTGGAGGCTGAGACAGGAGGATCGCTTGAGCCCAGGAGTTTGAGGTTGCTGTGAGCTAGGCTGACGCCTCGGCACTCACTCTAGCCTGGGCAATAAAGCCAGACTCTGTCTCAAAAAAAAAAAAAAAAAAAAAAAATGAAAGTCAAAGAAAGCTGGGTGCTAAGCATTAGCCAAGTTGTGAATGCAAAGGAAGGGTTTTTCAAGGAAATTAAAAGTGCTACTCCAGTGAACATAAGAATGATAAGAAAGTGAAACAAACTTATTGCTGAAATGGAGAAAGGTTTAGTGGCCTGAGTAGAAGATCAACCCAGCCACAACATTCCCTTAAGCCAAAGCTTAATCTAGAGCAAGTCCTCAACACTAAGGCTAGACCCTCCACCAACAAAGGACTAGGACTCACTAAAAAGTTCAGATGAATATTAGCATTTTTTATCAATAATGTGTTTTTAATTTAAGGTATGCATGTTTTTTAGACATAATGCTATTATTGCACACTTAATGAACCACAGTATAGTGTAAACTGA